CGGAGCTGTGCCGATCTGAAGCCAGGAGCTTCTTCCCAGTCTCCCATGCTGGTGCAGGTGCCCAAGGACTTGGGCCATCCTCCACTGCTTTCCCAGGCCATAGCAGAGAGCCGGATTTGAAGTGGAGCAGCCGGGTCTCAAACCGGCGCCCATATGGGATGCTGGCACTGAAGGCTTACCTCCTACGCCACAGCGCCGGCCCCAGAAGTACTCTTTGACTTGTTAAATTATACTGTTTCATTTAACTGTTAGGCTGTTTTGTAAGTCAGTGTAGGTATGGCCTTGTTTAGCACCAGAAATTGAAATAAGTAGAATTGTTTATTGTTTTATGTTTTTCTTCATACTGTTGCGTTTTAAAATCTAATATGGCCTGAAAAACACTTCAGCTCTTTTCCTTTTGGAAGTTACCAAGGAAATTGAATGTAATGGTTGTTCTTATTTTGTGGAACCTATTTTGTCAGACTTTTTTTGGGAAAAATTATGTTGTCTTTAAATGCAGTTGGTGAGTTTAATTACTAGTAACTCATGGTACTAACACGTCTACATTTAATATTTTTTTTAAGATTTATTTATTTATTTGAAAGAGTTACACAGAGAGGGGAGAGGTCTTCCATCCACTGGTTCACTCCCCAATTGGCCGCAAGGACTGGAGCTGTGCCGATCTGAAGCCAGGAGCTTCTTCTGGGTCTTCCATGTGGGTACAGAGGCCCAAGGACTTGGGCCATCTTCTACTGCTTTCCCAGGCCATAACAGAGAGCTGGATCGGGAGTAGGGCAGCCAGGACTCAAATCGGCACCCATATGGGATGCTGGCGCTGCCATAGTGCCGGCCCCCATCATTGAATTTTGATACTTTACAAGTCCCTGGTTTTACAAAGGAGATCACACAGTATAAAATGGAGTTCTCTATCATTTATTTTTTTTAAAAGATAGTTCCTCTTTTCTCTTGTATTTTCCTTGAAGTCATTTAGATATTTATAATTACTGTTTTAAGTCCTTTTTACTAATTCTATCTTTTGTCATTTTTGAGAGTATATTTGATTTGGATGATAGTTTCTGTTAATTTTTTTTCTTTTAGTTTTGGGTCACTTTTGCTTTTAAAGTTTAGTGTGTATGTGTTTTAAATTGGATGCTGGAAATTGCAGATATTAAGTTGTTGAGTTCTGAGTTTTGTGGTCTTTTAAAAAATTTATTTAGAAGCCCCTGTGTGGCATAGCAGATGAAGCTGTTGGCTGTGATGCCGGCATACCATATTGGAGTGCCAGTTTGAGTCCCAGCTGCTCTGCTTCCAATCCAGCTCTCGGCTAATGTGCCTGGGAAAGCAGCAGAAGGTGGCCCAAATCTTCGGGTCCTTGCCACCCATGTGGGAGACCCAGATGGAGTTCCAGGCTGCTGGCTGTGGCCTGGCACAACCCTGACTTTTGTGACAATTTTGGGATTGAAAAGTGGATCAAAGAGCTTTCTCTGTCTTCCACCTTCCTCCCATTCTGCCTTTCAAGTAAAATCTTAAAAAAAAAATTTTTTTTTGGAGGCTGTGTGTGTGTGTGCGTGTGTGCACACCCATGCTGGTTCACTTCCTAAGTACCTGTAATGGCTGGGGTTGGGCTGAGGCAGAAGGTAGGAACAGGAAATGTATTCCAAGTCTTGCACGTGGGTGGTTTCATGCCATCATTGCTGCCTCTTGGGGTCTGCATTAGTAGGAAGCTGGGGTCAGGAGCTGGAGCTGGGAACTGATCCCAGGTGTTCCGACTGGGATGTGGGCACCTTAACTGGTAGGCTGAACGCCGCTGCCTGTGAGTTTGTTTGATAGGAAGGTGCTTGTCGATCGGCTGGTGTCTGCACTTTGATAAGGCAGATCTAGTGGCCTTCACTCCAGGGCTGCTTCAGTTCTGTGATCCTTCTGGTTGTCCTATGTTCATCGAGGCCTGTCCCCTCAGGCTAGTTGGTTCTCAGATTTTCCCCAGCTCTGTGTTAGATCTTGGAATGGTTTTTTAAAAATTTTTTGGCGATTGTGTTTTGCCTAGCCTTGTGGGATTTCTCACTTTACCAAGTGCGATTTAGTTTTCAGCTTACACGGGGGAACACGAGGCAGACACTAGACCGCTGCTCTGAGTCCTGTCTTCTCCAGTACTCTGCCTTGCACAGTCCGGCTGCCTTCGCTGGCGTCACGCTGGTCTCTGCCTTTCTGAACACAGTGTGGCTGCTGGGCTTTGTTGAGGTCTTCCTGCCAGCTCTCCTGCCTGAGATGTGCCTCCAGGCAGTGAGCTTGGACAATCTGAGGCTCACTTAGATTTCTCTCAGAGGTCACAGTTCTAGGCTGCTTTTTGACCAGCATCTGAAACAGTTATTTCATATTCTGTTGTCCTTTGGTGTCATTGGGGAATTGGTTTCAGGACCCCTCAAGGATACTGAAATCCAGAGATGTCCAAGTCCTTCGTATAAAGTAGCATAATGTTTGCATATGACACACGTCTTCTTGTATACTTTAAATTATCTCTGCATGACTTATAATACCTAATATGGTATGAGTGCCACGTACATAATAAACCATGTTGCTTAGGGGATAATGACAGTTGAGATCTCCCATGTGGGTGGCACCACATCACCACTGCCTCCCAGGCCTACACATGTTCAGTATGGATAAAAGTTTTTCCCTTTGAATACTTTTGATCTGTGAGTTGTTGAATCCACAGATGGGGACCTCCTGGAAACTGAGGACTAACGGCAAGTCCAGGACTGATTAAATGTTCTTCTATCTCGTATTGTTCAGTAGTAAGTTGTAGAGTAAGTTAATTTTGTCTGTGGCCAGCTGAGTAGTAACATGTTTGAAGGCAGTGTTGTTGACTCGAACTTTGTGTGGGACTGGAAGTGTTCTGTTCCTGTGCTGTCTAGTCAGTTTCCACTGCCACTTGTGGCTATTTGGACTTGAAATGAGGAACTAAATTTTCAAAAATTTTAAAATTTGCTTTTGAGAGAGACAACAGAAAAATCTCATCTGCTAGTTCACTCGTCAGAAGCTCGTAACAGCTATGGCTAGGGTGCCATGAAGCCAGGAGTGGGGAACTCAGTGCAGGTCCTCCACATGGGGAGCGGGACCCATGTATTTGAGTCATTACCTGCTGCCTTCCAGAGTTGCTTTAGCAGAAGATGGAGTTGGGAGCAGAGCTGGGACTTAGACTCAGACTCATGTACTCTGGTATGGGATGTGAGCATCTCGGCATCTTAACTGCTGCACCAAATGCCTCCCCCACCTCCGAATTTTTAAATTAAATTTAATAGCTCCATGTGGTTAGTGGCTCCTATTATGGACAGTGCAGCTTAAGCTTTGCTCTCAGTATTATAAAATGTCAACCTTACAGCTTTTGCATTTAGTAAAAGTGCCTATGACTGATCTTTTTTAAAAGATTTATTTATTTGAAAGAGTTAGAGACAGAGAGAAGTCTTCCATCTGCTGGCTCACTCCCCACTTGGCCACAACAGCCAGAGCTGTGCCGATCCGAAGCCAGGAGCGAGGAGCTTCTTCGGGGTCTCCCTTGTGGGTGCAGGGGCCCAAGGACTTGGGCCATCTTCTACTGCCTTCCCGGGCCATAGCAGAGAGCTGGATCAGAAGTAGAGCAGCCAGAACTTGAACCAGTGCCCATATGGGATGCTGGCACTGCAGGCAGTGGCTGTACCTGCTCCGCTATAGCGCCGGCCCCTTCTATGACTGATCTTTAATATGTTCTAGTTTAGAAAATTACTATAGTACTTTCTCAAATAGTAAATTGAGTTATTGTTCATCAGTGATCATTTGGGAATACATACAAGATGGACAGTTTGTCATGCATAATCCCAAAGATAACAGTTTAATGATGTATTTCCTTCTGTCTAGTCTTACATAAAAAGAAGAAATTTTTAGTGAATAATGATTTGGTTTTATTTTAAATATTTCTATTCTAGAAGGAAATATGCATGGATAACAAGATTAAAATTGTGGGTTTTTTTTGGGGGGGGGGGGGGATCCTCCTAGAATTAGCTTCACATTATTAATTTGCAAAGAACATTACCAGGGTGGCGTCTGGCCTAGGGATTAAGATGCCTGGACCTCTTAACAGAGTGCCTGGGTTCACGTCCTGGCTCTGCTCCTGACTCCAGCTTCCTGCTAATGCACATCCTGGGAGGCAGCAGTGATGGCTCAAGTAGTTGAGTCCCTGCCATCCATGTGGGAGACCCGGCCTGAGTTCTGACTCCTGGCTTTGGGCTTGCCCAGCCTCAGCTGGGAGTGAACCAGCAGGTGGTAGCTCTTTTTTCTTATCTTTTGTTTTCATTCTCTCTCTCTGTCTCTCTGCCTGTCAGTTAAATTTGAAAAATAAAATAGCATTTCCTGAACAGGCTTCCTGTCTTTATAGGCTGTGTGGCTGTGGCAGTTTCAGGAATAGCAGAGAGATCGGGACATTGTGTTCTTCATTTTATTTGTCTATGTCAGGGGTGGGGAACATCCGGCCCACAGGTTGTATAAGGCACACAGAATCATTTGGTCTAGCCCTGCCCAAGGCAGCTGCAGGCGGAACTTGAAATTCAATAAATCTATAGCAGGCTAATTTTTAAATTGATAATTTTGTATGGCCTGTGAATGATGTTATAAATATCCAAATGGCCCTTGGTAGAAAAAAGGTTCCCTAACCCTGACTGTGTTAACGACTGGTGTAGAGAAAATTCTGTTTTGCTGTATTGACTACTTTTTGACAACAGGTGTAAGGAGGCTGGAACATAATTTAATATCTTGCTCATTTCCCATGGACTAGGTGTAACTCTGGTTGGAAGACTGATTTCAGTTTAGTCTTTGTATGACTGCTTTGCTTGAGAATATGTTAGGTGCTTAGAATCCAAAGGCCTGATCCTGAAGGTGTTTGTGGTCAACTTGGGGAGAAAGACATTCACTGTTCATTGTAATAGTATCAACATTTTGCAGAATTATCAGGCAATGCCTGTCATATCTAACTTCAGACATCTTTTGTTTAGGTGAGACTTGGAACCCATTAAAATTGCATTATCAGTTAAGAAACGTGCGGGAACGATTAGCTAAAAACCTGGTGGAAAAGGGTGTATTGACAACAGAGAAACAGAACTTCCTACTTTTTGACATGACGACACATCCTCTTACCAACAACAACATTAAGCAGCGTCTCATCAAGAAGGTACAAGAAGCAGTTCTTGACAAGTGGGTGAACGACCCTCACCGCATGGACAAGCGCTTGCTGGCCCTCATCTACCTGGCCCACGCCTCGGATGTCCTAGAGAACGCCTTCGCTCCTCTTCTGGATGAGCAGTATGATTTAGCCACCAAGAGGGTGCGGCAGCTTCTCGACCTAGACCCGGAGGTGGAGTGTCTGAAGGCCAGCACCAATGAGGTTCTGTGGGCGGTGGTGGCGGCGTTCACCAAGTGACTGCTTGGGACGAAGCATTCTCCTTTCTCCCGTGTAAACCAGTAGTTTTTTCTTCTACTGACTTCTGGTTTTCTGCAGTTTGTACTTTCCCATACTGTAATTGGCTTTTGTTTTAGAAAATGGTGGGTGGCTTTTTCTTTTTCCTATGTATGCAGGATTCTGCTGGTACGAGAGGCCTTCCTCTTTCTGTTTTTAACAACGTTTTACTGCCATATTGGCATTCCAGTCCCTGTTGGCAGTCTCACTGCTACCTGCTTTGGGGTTCTGGTACTTTGGCTTTCAGAGTACCCCAGGCCGCCTCCTCACATGCACAGCTTTTGGATCCCCTCAGCTTGAGTCTCCCACATGTGCATGTCCATCTCATGTTCCGCCTACGGTTCAGACAAGCGTCACACACGGCCTTCAGCTCACCAAAGGTAAATATCTGTATCTATTAGGACATTTTATACATAGACCTCAGTTGAGAGATGTATACTTAGCAAAATTATTTTTAAATTGAAACAGCAAATACTTAATATAAAATGCCCCTTGGATTTTGCTTCCCATGTAAATCTATTGTATTATTACACTTGCTATAATTTTAACTATTAAATCATAAAGGTCCAGTTGTTTCACAAAGCCAGTTGGGGACGGGCTGCATTCCAGTTATGCTGTATATAGTTTCAATTATATATAAATTGCCCCTTCTCTGGCTACCCCTGCCCATCTTAGTATTTTGCAAGATTTAATTAGTTGTGCACCTGGTGCCCCTCATTTGCCTCAGTCATTGTTATTAGATGGGAAAATAGACCTCTCATTGAAGGAGAGAGAAAAGATGTGGCTCTGATTGGTCTCAGAATTTTTTGAGTTGTGCCATTCATGGTACTTTTTGCCTATGCATCTCCTTTCTGGATTTTTGGGGGTGTCTTACTATTTTTATAATTTCTGTAGGGAAGAGGCTTTTGACCAGTACTAATCTTGAGTACAGTTTTTTTTTTTCTTCTTCTTTTCTGTCCACAAGTAAATTAATGTCTGCTCTGAAATGTCATTTATCTACTCACACTTTGTTCGGGGGAGAAAAATCAAATATCAGTCCTAGCAGATGTTGCATGTAAATTGGTAGCAAGTAATGACTACAACTCAGATGATTAAGAATTTTGTAACAGAAAGCTCTGCTATGTTTTAATTTTTATATACAATTATGATTAGCACATCGTAAGATTATAAACCTTTGCTTTTTACAAGTTTATTTTTACTCTTTATCACTGTTTATCATACCACCATTGGTTTCACAATGTAAATATTATACATTGAACAAATTAAATGTCAAATTTTGTATTACCATAGTTCATGTTAATAGTGGGGCTTTCAGGTGTCTATAAAGATTTTTTTGGTTAACATTCATTGCAAAAGTACTAGATGGTGTATAACTCTAGAGTTGAATTTGAAGGGATTCCTAAATATGTATACTATCTTTTTATCTGAAGTAATAAATAAACTATGATCTTGAAAGTGCCTGAATCAGAGCAAGTATGTCATTTGTGTTTTTCTGTTCTCCACTCTATTTCTTACAGATGAGATTTTGTTTAGTATAGCACCTCAATATTTCAGTGCATGTTTGGCAGAATTTTTCTTAAAGAGCCAGAATGTAAATATTTTAGGCCTCATGGACTGCACAAGATGTATGTTGTAACCAGTTGACTACTGAATGAAAGCTGTCATGGATGGTAGAAATAAATGGGCTGGTCTGGGTTCTAGTGAAAGACAGCCAGCTGTGGGCTGCACTTCCCAGCCCCTGTGTGAATGCCTGGAAGAGGTTTTTCTGTCCACTAAAATAAGCACTTTTGCTTCCAAAAGTTACACTACTGGTAAATAAATGCAGAAACTATTGAAATTTCCCCACAAAATAGATGCTGTAAACTGATACCATATTGAAGTTTATCAGGTGCAAACCTGTCTTTGCCTTGAGAAGACTTTAGAAGTGAGACCAGGGATTCCCCGGAGGGGTTCTTCATTTTGTCAGCAGCCTCACTGTTCCCAGCCTCGGTGAGCAGGGCCTCGCCTGAACCTGGGGCCATGCTTCTCAGAACAGGCTGCGTGGTTCTACTGGCGAGCACCGCTAACTTCATACTTGTTTATATGAGAACTTCAGAAAGTTCGTGGAAAATGGAAGGAAAAAATGTTTATTTTGGTGCAAGGAGATTGGAAATCCGTATATACAAGAGGTCTTTAAAAAGTTTATGGGAAAAATGTGTAGTGTGAAAAAAAAATGATGCCTGGGTTTCAAGAATATTTTTGAATCAAAATAAACCTATCTTCTGTTTGTCTGTGAATTTCTTATAGATGAAGTTTTGTTTGTTTAATAAATGTTTTATACCTTCACTTGAGAGAGAGAGAGTGCTCTTGTCTGCTGGTTCACTCTGCAAATGTCTTCAATGGCTGGGGCCGGGACAGGCTGAAGCTGGGAGCCAGAACTCAATCCAGGTCTCCCATATGGGTAGCAGGGACCCTGCTGTTCCATCTGTCACCTGTTGCCTTCCAGGGTGCTCATTAGCAGGAAGCAGAGCCGGGACTTGAATCAAGGCAACTGATAGTGTGGGCCTCCCAGGCAGCATCTTACCTACTGTGCATGATGTCCTTTTCTATAAATTTATTGAACCATTCTCATGTCGAGAGGAGAAGAACGCAGGTCTGGAGGGGTAGGTGTTACCTTGAAATCTAGCAAAGACTTTGGCTTAAAGATTTATTTATTTATTTGAAAGTCAGAGTTAGAAAGAGAAGGAGTGGCAGAGAGAGAAGTCTTCCATCCGATGGTTCACTCCCCAGTTGCCCGCAATGGCCGGAGCTGCACTGATCTGAAGCCAGGAGCTTCTTCCATGCAGGTGCAGGGGCCCAAGGATTTGGGCCATCTTCTATTGCATTCCCAGGCCATAGCAGAGAGCTGGATCGGAAGTGGAGCAGCTGGGTCTCGAACTGGCGCTCATATGGGATGCCGGCACTTCAGGCCAGGGCATTAACCCACTGCGCCATTGTGCCAGCTCCCCTACAATGCTTTTTAAAAGCAGGAAAGATTTGACTCTGCAGAAACTATATTTATTATGCCACATTGGTTAATATTCTCAGGCCCAGAATCATGCAGTGAATTTTTATATTAAAACTTACATAAATAGCTGTTGTGCCAAGAATCAGTAGTCATTATTTCTTTTGGCTTTCTCATATGTTGTTCGATGAGTGTTATTTAAAATGACCTAGTAAGAGTGTTTTAGCAGTTTACTAAATGTATGTTCTGTGTACCTACTTAAGTGTTTTATATCATTTAAAATTATTTATTTGAACTTCCCAAATACCTACAACATCTGGGGCTGGGCTGGGATGACGCCAGGAGCTGGGGACGTAATATGCAGGTCTGCTGCATGAGGGGCGTGGTCCCGAGTATTAGAGCCATCGACTGCTGCCTCCTGAGATGTGCATTAGCAGGAAGCAGAGCTGGGATTCGAACCCAGATACTCTTGACATGGGATGCAGGCATGCAAGCAGCATCTTAACTCCCGGAGCCAAATGCCTGCCCTTTATATCTGCTTTTGACCTCCAGACCCCAATTGTTTTCATTTAGTGAAGAATAGGCTTAGGATGATTGGCCCAGTCTCACATTATCTAGTAATTCCTGGAGCTTTTACTCCCAAAGTGATTTTGAGCAACAGTGATGGCATTCGACTACAACTTTGCCTTTGTTATTTGGGCATCAGGAGGGGGTTTCTTTTCGCTAATGGACTCAACAGAGTAGCAGGCATGCAAAAAATTCTCACAATGATAGGGACTAAAAACATTAAAGGATATCCCTACTTCATTCTAATACCTTAGTAGAACTTGTAAATTTCCTTTTGTGTGAACAAGTTGACCACTAATGTATGTTCTGAGAAGAAAGCAGCATTGTATTATCACATGGCCCAGAAAGCCCCCAGAATGCTGAAGCAAGACTGAATGGCAGTCTCTGGTTCATCACTCAGCCCTCCACATGTGTGTGAACAGCTAGGGGCAGTACTCCAAGCATAGTCAACCCTGAAGCTGGTCATCACCTGGAAGGAAGTGAAAGGGGCTCGTTTATCCCTGGCTGCGTGGCGGTGCAGGACCAGTACGTACTGACACCCAGGCTGTGAGCACAGGGGCCCCACTGGCAGGCGGGGCTAGCTTGCTCCAGAGCACGGACACCACCAGTCACAAGTTTATGTGAGTTACAGGTTGAAATGCCTGGCACGACAGGTGTTTGAAATTTCAGAATTTTTCAGATTTTTGGAATGTTCGTGTAGATGATGGCTGAGCATTCCTAGTCTAAAAATTCCAAAGTCCTCATTCGGACTGGGGATGTTCCACTTGTGTTTTGAGTTCGCTCTGTTGTCCGACTCTGTGGCCTCCCCATCTTGACTTACTGTGTGTTGTCAGATAATACTACCGCATGTGCAGTTCTCAGTGCTTCAGGCCCAGGATGATAAGCCTGGCTCTTGTAAGTTCTTCGTGAACGACAGATGCTCCTAAACATCACCAGTGAAGGGGTGCTGTTGCGCATAACCTTGCAGGCCGTCCTTCAAAGGGCAATGGAAGGTGCTGTGGTTTACGTGGTAGTCCGGATGCTGACTGCCCTCCAGAGGCTCATGTGGGAAAGGTTTGGTTCCTGAGTTAGGAGGTTAATGGCACTGAGGGAGTGGGAACTTACTCCAGTTATTGTGTGTGTGTGTGGTGGAGGGCCTTTTGAAGTTACTGGATTGGAATGAGTGGGTCGTTGGGGTGGAGCTGGATTAAGTTCTGAGGGCTTTATGGGAGAACACATGTCTCTTGCCATGTGATGCTTTATGCCACTTCGGGATTCTGCCAGCAAGGATACCATCACTGGAGGCCGAACCTGTGGCACCTGCCTGACCTTGGACTGTGCGCCTCACAAACTGTGAGTCAGAACAAACCTCTGTACTTGAACACGTCAGTTGCTTCAGGTACTTTTATTTATATATATATGTATATATATATATATTTTTTTTTAATTTATTTATTTGAAAGGCAAACTTACACAGAGGCAGAGAGAGAAATCTTCCATCTGCTGGTTCACTCCCCAAATGGCCACAATGGCCCCGGCTGAGGCAGACGGAAGCCAGGAGCTTCTTCCAGGTCTCCCACAGGGGTGCCTTGGGCTGGCTGGGAAGTGGAGCAGCCAGGACTCGAACCAGCGCCCATATGGGATGCTTGTGCTTCAGGCAGCAGCTTTACGTGGTACCCCACAGCTGCTCCTCAGGTATTTAGAGTGAGGCAAAGTTGACTAATACAGATGGTAACTTTGTTTAACTTTGTTCTGTTCTCTCTCAGCCTAATATTATTTACACTTGTATAGTTGTTTATGCATGTTTTAACAGTGGTGTCATGCTCATTTAAACACTGATGTATATTTGAAATTTAACCTGGTGGGGAATTAGTACATAAGTGGTACACAGCATTCTTTTGAGTGGTGTCATTGTGTAGTTTAGTTCAATCTCCTTTTAATGGTCACTTGCTGTATTCTTGTATTTTTTCATTATTAAAACCAGTAACTTTATATTTCTCTGGTTGCTGTAGGAGGAATTAATTGTTATCTGTTTGTTCAAAGAATGTGCTTTGAAAATGTAAAACAAAGATTGATTTCTCCACTTCATGGCAACTTGCACTTCCCATAATGTGAGTGCTGGCTTCCCTACACTCAGCTGTACAGAGCATCATCATTAATCTTGGTGTTTGCTAAGCTATAATTATCAAGTTATTTTAATTATTGAGAAGTTGAATATTGTTTTGTTGTTTTTGAACATTTGAATTTTTTTTCTGTGAATTACCTGTTCATTTCTCTATCCAGTTTCCTAACGAGCATTGATCTTTTCATGTATTGATTCACCAGGACTTAGGCCTGGGTCTGTGATGCAGTCTTTGGAGCTAGGACAGGGTAAGTTGTCCTTTCGCTTCTTTTAATATGCAGAAAAGTATCAGGACAGTACCTGAGCATGGAGTCCGTGCAGGTCTTGATTGTCCTACCACTAAGATGGTCTTGGTCATCAGATTTGTTGTTTATAATATTTAGGGGAGGTAGGATTAAATTGACAATGGAAAAAAATGGAACAGATATATAGCTTATGAATTTGTATACAAATGGAAAACCACATAAAGGCAAAAATTAGTGAGTTATATTAGGGCAGCTCACAAAACCAAGGAGATCTGGAGGTAGGAGGTAGGTAGCTGTTCAGGCTTCCTGCCAGTTAGTTTCCCTAACTCCTGAGTCTCAGCACTTGTCCCGTCTGCTGTGTCATCTTCATTTTGTTCTGTTTTTCATTCGATTGTTTCTTTAAAAAAGATTTGTTTATTTATCTTTTATTTATTTGAAAGGCAGAGTTACAGGGAGTGGAGGAGAGACAGAAAGATCTTCCATCTGCTGGTTCGCTCCCCAAATGGCTGCAACGGCCAGGGCTGGGTCAGGCCAATGGCAGGAGCCCAGAGCTTCTTCTAGGTCTCCCACGTTGGTGTAGGAGCCCAAGCACTTGGGCCATCTTCTTTTGCTTTCTCAGGCACAGCAATAGGGGGCTGGATCAGAAGTGGAGCAGCTGGCCGGTGCCGCGGCTCACTAGGCTAATCCTCCGCCTTGCGGCGCCGGCACACCGGGTTCTAGTCCCGGTCGGGGTGCCGGATTCTGTCCCGGTTGCCCCTCTTCCAGGCCAGCTCCCTGCTGTGGCCCGGGAGTGCAGTGGAGGATGGCCCAAGTCCTTGGGCCCTGCACCCCATGGGAGACCAGGATAAGTACCTGGCTCCTGCCATCGGATCAGCGTGGTGCGCTGGCTGCAGCGCGCCAGCCGTGGCGGCCATTGGAGGGTGAACCAACGGCAAAGGAAGACCTTTCTGTCTGTCTGTCTCTATCTCTGTCCACTCTGCCTGTCAAAAAAAAAAAAAAAAAGGAGCAGCTGAGACTCGAACCAGCACTTAAAAGGGATTCCAGTGCTGCAAACTGAAGCTTAAGCTGCTACGCCACAATACCGGCCCCTGATTGTTTCTTTTAATCTATAGGTTCTTTTTTTTTTTTTTTTTTTTTTTTTTTTTTTTTTTTTTTTTTTTTTTGAGACAGGTAGAGTTATGGGCAGTGAACAGAGTAAGACAGAAAGATCCTGCTTCTGTTGGTTCACTCCCCAAATGGCCGCTGCGGCTGGTGCACCATGCTGATCCGATGGCAGGAGCCAGGTGCTTCTGGTCTCCCATGCGGGTGCAGGGCCCAAGCACTTGGGTCATCCTCCACTGCCTTCCCAGGCCACAGCAGAGAGCTGGACTGGAAAAGGAGCAGCCGGGACTAGAACCCGATGCCCATATGGGGTGCTGGCACCACAGGTGGAGGATTAACCAAGTGAGCTGTGGCGCCGGTTCTTTTCCTTGTCTTTCTCTTGTTTTTCCTTTGGAACATATTTGTTGATCAAATTGATCATTTGTTCTTTAGAGTTTTCCAGAGTTTAGATTTTGCTGATTTCATCTGCTGTTGTAACGTCGTGTGTTCCTCCAGCTTCATTTCCCAAGAATTGGTAATTGGCTCTAGGGGCTTACTTGGATTCAGAGTAGTTTGTTTAGGTAACTCTGCTTCCTAAGTGGTTGTGTGTACTACTTTTTTTTTTTTTTTTTTGACAGAGTGGAGAGAGAGAGAGAAAGGTCTTCCTTTTCAGTTGGTTCACCCCCCAATGGCTGCTGTGGCTGGTGCACCGCGCCCATCTGAAGCCAGGAGCCAGGTGTTTCCTCCTGGTCTCCCATGTGGGTGCAGGGCCTAAGGACCTGGGCCATCCTCCACTGCACTCCCGGGCCACAGCATAGAGCTGGCCTGGAAGAGGAGCAACCGGGACAGAATCCGGCGCCCTGACCGGGACTAGAACCCGGGTTGCCGGCGCCATAGGCAGAGGATTAGCCTATTGAGCTGCGGCGCCGGCCCTACTTTTTTTTTTTTTAAAGATTTGTTTGTTTCTTTGAAAGAGGGAGAGAGTGAATGAGATTGAGATCTTCCATCCACATAGTCTGACAGCCATGGCTCGGCCAGGTGGAAGTCAGGAGCTTGGAACTCCATCTGGGTCTTGTACATGGGTGGCAGGAACCCAAGTACTTGGGCTGCCTTCCCATTTTCCCAGGCATATTAGCAGGGAGCTGGATGGGAAGTGGAGCAGCTGGGACTTGAACCACTGCTCGTACAGGATGCTAGCACTGTGGGTGGTGGTGTAACCTGCACCACGTGTGTACTTGTGACAGGAGGCCCACCGTGCCAGGCTGTCTCTGCTTTTGTGACATTAGCAACCTTGCTGTGCACTTCTTGGATCTTGTGATTTACTGAGGGTTACAAAGGTGATATTTTAATTCTTATTTATTAGCAAGGATATTTCCATAAAGAGAAACCACCTTGTTTGCATTACCTGTGAGTATAGTTCATAAAGGTAGGGTAAATTGTTATTTACCTACTTTGAAAATAGAGTTGCTTCCCTGGCACCCTCTGAAGATGACTGATGGTTTCCTAAAGCATTATGAACTTAATGGCAACAAACTATCATCAGGCTGTCCATCTGCTAGGGTGCGATGTGTCAGCCCTCTGCGCCGTCATCACAGACTTCACACGCGTGCCCACTGTCAGAGGGTGAGGAACTGTTGGCCCTCTGAGCTTTCCCGATGACTGCAGCAGGGTCTTAGGCTGCCACGTGCCCCGTGGCATCCTTCCTTGCCCAGGCTGTGGTGCCGTATTGTCTTGGAGGTGCTGGTTTGTTCCCATCCAGTTGTATATTCGGGGTTTTGTTGTGGGTCTTTGCCATGTCCCTGTGTTGACACGTGCGCTTCTGGCACGTGCTATTTCACTGCCTCCTCCCTTCCCTTTCCGAGTTCTGTGTTCATAAATAGGACCTTTGCTGGATTGGACGCAGTGGGGCAGGCACCTGTGTCTAAGCCTGTCATTTGCCCAAGATTGGTCAGTAGTGGATTCCTCATAGCTCTACGCATTGTTCGGTTCAAGAGAAGTCAAAGAGAGGGAAGCTGGATATTGGGTGACTTCAGTCTATTGAGTGAGCCTGCTGTTTTGGGGGCGATCAGGAGGGGAGGGATGTGGAGTGCTTCATGGCCTCATACTCTGTCGTTGCCTTTTCTGAGTTGAGTTTGGTGTTTCTCAGAACACTGTGCTTGCTCTGAGAGGGAATTGGGTCCCACTTTGTTGTTCATTTTGGGCTTAGGTTTTATTACAGGCGTTATGTAGTGCCCCACCTAGAATGGGTTTGTGGCTTTAGGTTTCCCTCAGTTTGTGTTCATTTCTGTGGGTTTCAGGAAGGAGAGTTAAGCAAACAAGTACTACTCTCTCCTAGCTCTACCGGAGCAGGGGCTGAGCCAGGAAGAATTGTGGGACATGGAAAATCAGGCAGGCAGCAGCTTGTATGTCTGTTGAGAGAAATTCTGATACCAAGTGGGGCCAAAACTATGCTAAAACCGTGTTCATACGGGATGAAGAATGGGGTAAGGCAGCCAACCGGGAGGGAGTGCAGCACACAGCCGTGGGGCTCTGCCCGTGGTGGGTGCGGGGTGCAGAGTCCTGACTCCTGACTCCCTGCTCCCGAGTTGCCCAGTCTGAGGCCGAGTCGCTGCTGGCCCCAGTTCTGGGATTGCTGTGCAGCTGGTGCCATCTCGCCACCATGACCACCATGACCACCATGATCAGGCTACTCCAGGTTGCTGTCTGCAACTTAAAACCAAAAAGCCTAAGTAAAGCAGAGGATTGTTATTCCACTTGGTGAAGCCGTTTCCCATTTCATCCGTATTGGAAGGGGAAGGCGAGGAGGGCTTTTGGGAAAGTGGGAGCAATGAGAAAAGCTCTGACAAGGAAACAGTTGCTGGGCAGTAGGGGAGTGTTCAGTTGAGGTTGGGAACTGAGCTGACAGCAGCACCGTGCTGTGGGGGTGTTCTCTGGGAACAGGGAGATGAGAAAGACCCAGGATTTCCTGGTAAGAGGACAGTGGGTGAGGGAGCTAAGCCTAAGAGCCAGCATGAAGGGCTGTGTTTGACTGTGGGGTCCAGGGAATAGAGACCGGGATGGAAGGCTGCAGCGGGAGAAATGGACAGCTGTCAAGGGATCCGAGGGTTTACCAAGACCACACATGGAGGAAAGCAGGCTGTGAGAGGAGGAGGTTTAAGATTCTGAATATGGCCTTGGAAAGAGCAGCTGGCTAGATTGATGTCTCTGTATCTCTCATTTAGGTAATAATTAGGTAATACCATTCTGTTTGAAAACAGTTGAGAGCATGAGCATCCTCTCCCATCTGCCGATTTACTCCCTAGATCCTCAGATGTCTGCAAGGGCTGGGCTGAAACCAGAGACAGGAACTCATTCTCAGTTTCCCACGTAGGTGGCAGGGACCCAAGTACTTGAACCATCACCTGCTGCCTCTCAGTATATGCACTGGCAGTGGTAAGTTGCAGTCAGGAGCCAGAGCTGGGTGTTGAACCCAGGTGCCTCAGGATGGAACATGGGTGTCTAAACTGGCATCTTAGCCACAAGGCTAACAAAACCTTTCCCCCCTCTGGATATAAATGCAGAACAATGAAAAAGTAGTAAGCAGAGTATTTATTTTTTTTAAAATCACTTAAAAAAGTTTATAGAGATGTGGATTTACATAACTCAGCGACAACACTTTGAAAATGTACAGGCTATTTCATATTATTGCACTTACTCTTTAATATATAAGGCATTTTATTTTACATAAATAAAAGATAATGTATAATATCATACAACAGGTATGGTGCCAATTAAGTCAACCGTGCAATGCAGTGAGATGCGTGTGGGAGATGGAGAGGAAGCCCAGCCCACTTCAGCCTTGGTGCTATATTCTTGCAACTACGATTCACATTGACCTCACAACTCACTGCAAATGACTGACCAGGTAACAAAACCCAAACAAAGACAGTTTTCATAGGACAATACCATTGGTGTTCACTCCAGAAGGTGGCGGGGGTGGGCTTATTAGACTAATTAGAAATACTAGTCATGCCTTGAACACTGAGCACAAATAAATAGCTTTTAATTGTAGGGTCAAAGACAGTTTAGCCTTTGCTTCTTCCCTTAAATCCCAGCTTGCAGCTGGGGGACCCTTCTGGCAAGACCTGCTGGGAGGCCAGGGGCGCATCCTCACCCTTCTAAGATGTGAGGACCAGGGACTCAGGAGACATTCCGCTGCTCCAGCTTGCTCTAGAAATCCCTGTCTGTCCATATGGACTGTGCACTTCAGTACAGCACAGCCTAGGAGTGGAGGCAGAAAATGGTCTTCAGTGTTGGCTTCCAAGGGTCTCCTATCATTTAGGCAAGAAAGCAGAAACCACAGAACTGACAGAACTGACCCGAGACGTAGAAAGCAAACCAGCATGCACCTTGCATTGACATCCTATAGTATCCTACCTGTAACTGTAGTGAAAAGTAGATGCTAAATCAGGTCTTCCAGCTAACTCTTGTGCCACGTTCTCCTTGGCGTAATTACCTGTTGGAAAACGAGAAGCCTGGGCCCACACAGGCCAGGTGCTTCATTCTCATCTGCTCTAACAAATGGGCACTTAGAAAAATGATGGCCAGTGATGACAGTTGAAGAACCTCCATGACCCGGGGCCCCTCACAGCCACGGCCAAGCTGAAGGTTAAATCTCCAGCGTAAAGCTGCAGTGTTGTCTGGTGTGCAGGACTCGGCGGCCTGGTCGGCGCCACCCAAGGACTTGAGTCGTCAAAGCTGAGTAGTTCTGCTCCTGCATTCTGTTGGAGTCTTGCCCTGTTTCTCCATTTTCCTCCTCGTTGCTGCATCTTGGTAAACAAAGCTGACGAGGGTTTGGAATTTAAAGAAAGTACAGCGCTAGAGGGGAGAGCCAGCTTCATGACAACACAGGACGTGACGGTGGGACCAGACTGCCGTTCCGGGGGAGCTGTGCGTCACGGCAGGCCTCTGCAGGAGAACACTGTGGCGAAAGGAAGACTTTGCAGGACAGGAAAACAAAAACAGCGAAAACTTCAGTCACTGCAAGAGTTGTCATTATGCCTGGTCCAGGTTCAGTACTTGGAAACGTGACATTTCTGAGGCGTGTTGAGAAAGAGAAGAAACCAACCAAAGAGAAAAGGTCCGCCCCAGCGAGATCACTGTAGGCTCCTGTGAGTGGTAAGTAATGCCTATGTTTAAAAATCCAGACACTAAAGAGAGACTCACGTTCTAAAATTGAGTTTAAATTAGTAGTTGGAGTGCATGAAATGGAAACCCAGCGATTTTTTTTTGTCTGCTCTTAAGTTGACCAATCTTGAATTCAAGACAAGTTCAAAAACTAGACGCAAGGTGCTTTCTAAGCAGCAAAGCTCATGGCTATTTAGCATCGATTCTGTAAAACAGACCAATGCATTACACTGTCAGAGATGGAAAATGATCAGCACTTCACGGTGGTCACTAACCCATTGAGTTCAACTCTGCATCGTACATCATACATTACACTCGCTACAAAATAGTACTTTCTGCATTTTGCTTTTTCAGTTTGGGATAATTCCTGAGCTCAGCCTAACAATTAGGTCATAATTCATTCTTCTGTAAGTCTCATTTTTTTTTCAGGGTAACATATACAGACCTGTGTTTCCTCATCCCACTAAATGTGCCAAAAAGCACTGTGTCATTTCCTTACAAAATTACATAAAACTCTCAACCTTTTAGTTGTGACATTGTGTTACCCTGAGACGTGAGGTCCTGATCACTAGGATTGGGTTTTTTGGCAGAGGTGGCAAGAGAGATGTGAAGGTCTAGGTAGGTGTTTGTCACTTCTTGTGTCCCCATCGGCAAGCATAAAGGATGGGGAGCAGGCACTGGAACAAAAGGAACCCTCCCGGCCGAGGTGGTGGAAGGGCTCTGGAGTTAACTTCATTGCTGCTGCACACACAGTAGGTCAGACTTCACGTGTAAGTACAGAGATTTTTAAAGTCCTCGCCTATGTGCCACCGTTTGTTGTTGCAAGAAGGGAACTAAGAAAAGGATGTTCTGGTTGAGTTCACGAGGAATTCCTATGCTTCCTGATGACTAACTGCACAGGTCCTTCCGGGACAGACTTCATAATATTCCAGGCATCGAAGTGCATCAGCCCGACCAGGGGTTTCCCATTAATAGCAAGAATTTCATCTCCAGCTTCTATTGTCCCAGCTTGTTCAGCTGCACCACCTGTGAGAATCAACACAGACAATGGCTTGGGATTTCTCTGACCACTGTGAAGGTACCAAGTGGCCTCAGACACGAGAACAGTCTCTGAATGGTAGGCCTGTGTTCTCTGGGTGGGGCCATATCCCCAAGGAAGAAACAGAAAGCATTGTAGCTCCAAAAGTAAATTGGACTGCATAAAAAAATCAACTCTAACCTGCTCCCCTCAAACCCAAGATAAAAAGGAACAATTGACAAGGGGAAGATTCTTCCAATGTATTTAAATCATCACTAAGAACAAAATAAAGAGGAAGCTGGCAAAGGAGAGCAACAGCTAAAATCCAGATAGCCAAGTCCAAGTTGACCCAGCTAGCGCAGTTTCTAAATAATACTCACATTCTGAGAATCTGCGATTACCTGCCTATCTGTGACTGTAGAGATTAATTATTTCTACATTATAGCTTGGTGTAGGTAATAGCAAATTTATGAGCTTGAGAAGAAAATACAAGTTTAAGCCCTGCTCCTTTTACACACATAAACATGGAAGGAGACTGAAGGTGGAGGTTCCTTATGGAGGAAACAGCACTAAAAGGAAAATCTTCTCAAACCTTAGATCTTAAAAAAGTCACTGTTAATTATTTGATATTTATATTAATTATTTGATATTTATAAATTCAACAAAAAGTCCCAATTCAACCCACCAAAGGACACAAACATTTAATGTTAGTGATAGAGGCAGATACTATCTCACCAATATCCTAGCAGCTCTGTAGTGGAGCAAAGAATGGCTTTCTCAGGACACAGTTTTAGAAGGACCAAAGCACTGCTGCTTAACATAACTAATGGTCGTGTAGCCAGTGTTGCCTTCTAGAATACTTACTACAGGCTCTGAGCAGGTCACATGAAACCAGAGAGTTCTGTGAGCATTCACCTGGGTCTAAGCACATGGGGGATTCCAGCCGGAAGAGGACACTGAGCCACTGTGCCTGTGGAGGCACACCGAGCAGTTGACCGGTGTCACTTCAGGCAAGTTAGAAACATTTCTCACAGCAAAGTGGTGATGCTGACACGTTCCTTGGTACCTCACTGGGACCTTAGATGAGACCCATTCAGGAACCAGGGCTCTGCAGGCCAAAGGTGGTGCCAGCTTTTGGACTTTTTATATGATGGAGTTTCAACCACTATCATTTGGGATTTTCTATTGTTACTCACGAGGTGGCAAACTGAATCCTCACTGATTCTCCATTTAAACAAGATGTTAGAAAACATCCTTTACAAGACTTTTTTGGGGAAAAAGCATAAAAGCTTCCTATAATTTTTAAAAGCAATTTATATACATATTTACTTGAGAGCAAGTGAGCTTTCTCCCATCCATTGGTTCACTCCCCAAATACCCACAATGGCCAGGGTTGACTGGGCTGAAGCTGGCACCAGGAATGCAGTCCAGGTCCCTCGTGGGTGGCAGGGACTCAAGTGCTCGAGCCATCACCTGTTGCTTCCCAGGGTGCACGTTAGCAGGGAGCTGGAATTGGGGATGTGGGCGTCTCAACCCCAGGACTGTCCTTGCATAATTGTTACACAGTCCTAGGTTCCTTACAGTTGTTACTGTGAACTGGTACCTCATAGTGCAGAATCTGCACTTGACTTTGCCCTAGTTCCTGTTTGTGTGCTGGTTCCAGTTAAACACCTGATTTATTTATTTGGTTGCTATGTAACCTTCCCTTTTATGAATATATCTCATCTATCATTTGGCCACAGGCAGAAATTTAAATTGTCTGATAGCCTGCATTTTAATGAGCGCAACCAGATATATCCCTGGGTGGGAGGTACACTCCTTCCACCAGAGAGATGGCACGCTTTCCCCACCGCAGCCTCAGAGCTGTGTCTGGCCAACCTGATGAATTACAAAGCAGATTCCGAATAGTTACTGTAATTTCCACCCAATAACTAATTTAAGGTTGAAATCCTTTTCCTGTGTTTCCTGAGCATTTAGGTTTTAACTTTGGTCAATTTTCTATTTGCTTTCTTTACCCAAATTTTCTCTTTATTTTGTATGTTTTTTATTGAACTATAGTTCTCTACACTTTCTGGACATAACCGTTTGCTGGTTAAATTCACGGCAGATGTCTTCTAGATGGGCTCAGCCTCTGAGTCATGTCATCAACATTGTACGGTCAGGTGTCACACAGTGATGCCGTGGTCAGTGCTGTCGCATGTATGATAGTTGCCCTGCAGAGGTGACGTCCCCCAGTGATGTCTGTTTTAGCTTGCACAAGGATACTCAATGGTGTTTGCACGAAGGCAGACTCGGCCAACCACGGTATGGGATTTGTCCCCGTCGTCAACGGTGCGTGATGACTCAACGTGCTTTCTAAAACAGCCATGTTTTTGTTTATGTTCATGAAGTCATTTTACAGTGGTGGTGGCTCCTGTGTGCTGGCTGTGAATTCACCTGCATTGGTGAACTACTTACACTGGCCTGGTATTAGGTTATTTTAATTTTTTTTCTTCCAGTCAGGAAAAACATAGTTTGCCAGTAATGGCAAATTGCGCTCGTACATTTCCAGTTTTTATGCCACTTGCCTTCTTTGTGGCTTAGTGTACTGCTGAGTTATTTGGCATCCTGAGGAAGGGAGAAATAGTTTCACAAGTGCACCAGTGACAGTGTCCTTTCATAAAGGGCGTTAAAGATAATGACCTATTGTTTTCATGGACGGGCTCTAGGAGAATATGTAATTCTTTTACTCTTCAAAGAAAATTTTTATTTTTTAGATTAATGTGCTACTTTTATGTTTTTGTGGAGTACCAGTGCACTCTCTCAACACGCCATACAGCATAGACTGATCAACCTAGGTAATTAACAAAAAAAAAAAGATAAACGAGACTGCTAAAGATTTATTTATGGGGCTGGCATGTGGCAGAACGGGTTAGGCTTCTGCCTGCGATGCCTGCATCCTACATGGGCACTGGTTCGAGGCCCAGCTGCTCTGCTCCTGATCAGGCTCCCTGCCCATGTGCCTGGGAAGGCAGCAGCAGATGGCCTGAGTGCTTGGTTCCCTGCACCCACTGGGGAGACCTGGGGAAGGCTCCTGGCTTCAACCTGGCCATTGTGGGAATGAACCAGTGGATTAAGGACTTGTCTTTCCTGCTCTGACTCTGCCTTGCAAATAAATAAATAAATCTTTTAAAAGAAATCCTTTAAACATCAAACTTTAAAAAAAAAAAAAAAGAATTTACTTAATTGCAAGGCAGAGTCAAAGGGAATGAGAGATCTTCCATCTGCTGGTTTACTCCCGACATGGCCACAACAGCCACAGCTGAGCCAGGTGCCTCCTCCGGGTGTCTCACGTGGGTACAGGAGCCCATGTACTTGGCCGTCTTCTGCTGCTTTTCCTAGGTGCATAGCAGGGAGCTGGATCAGGGAACCGCAGCTGGGACACGGACCAGCGCCCACATGGGATGCTGGCATTGTAGGTGGTGGCCTTACCAGCTCTGCCACAGAGCTGACCCCTTTATCTTTTCTAATAGATGTTTGGAGCTCAGCAGCTCCAGCACCAGGGAAGTCTCTTAAAAATATGGCACTTCTGCCAAGAGACACCTGGAGGTTTTTGCTTTTTAAAATAGAAATGTACATTAAAAACTTTTTTCCTGTTAATACTGATTTTAAAAATATGCTGTGGGGTCACTATGTGATCATTACAAACAAATGCAACCCTTAGCCAAGAAAAATGGACTTTACTATTTGCTGATATACTCTTATATTCTCTAAGTGGGTTTCTGATCCATTTGTGAGAGTGATTGTATATTGGCATATGTCATATAGTTGGTACAGTTACGTTAATTGTTCAAGAAGCTGAAGAGACTTTGGAAGACCGCCTGGGGCCTGCACTGTGGTGTAGTAGGCTAAGCCTCCACCTGTGGCGCGAGCATCCCATATGGGGATGCTCTCTTCCCATCCAGCCCTCTGCTTATGGCCTGGGAAAGCAGTGGAGGATGGGCCAAGTCCTTGGATCCCTGCCACTCATGGGGGAGCCCTGAAGGGAGTTCCAGGTTCCTGGCTTCAGCCTGGCCCAACCCAGCTGGTTGTAAGCATTGGAAAAGATGGAAAACCTCTCTCTCACTCTGCCTTTGAAATACATATCTATTTTAAAGGCCTGCGCTTGTCACTGGGACACACATGGAAGGAGGCGGCCTGAGCTGTCCAGCATGTACCTTTGTAGACTCTTTTAATGAAGAGGGGCCCATCTCCAGACACGGACGCCTTTCCTCCATCCACGCTCAGTCCCAGCCCTGCCGAGGTCTTCAGCACTTCAACGCACAGGGCCCCGTGGGCGGCTCCGCTCCTCCCTGTGCAGAGAGAAACAACACGGCTGCTCATCATGCCCCCTGGTGCCACAGGCTCCCCGCTGCCTGGATGTCCCCGTAACAATCGTTGCGCCCAGTGTCCAGGCAGGCTCCGCAGGGAGCTGCCCTGTGGCTGTGTTCCTGCAAACATGTCGCTCCCCCTCTTCGCGGAGGAACGACACAGGACCCTGCGCTGTTCTTTCGTCTGCTCGGCCCTCCCCGGGTTTGCTGCTGGTTCTTCCCGGGTTGGCTGCCGTCCCTCCACCTCCGTGGAAGGGCGGTTCCCCCTAGCCACTTTCCCCACTTCCGCGGGGGAGCGGCACACCGCCGGCCGGCTCTCTCGGGGGCTGCACAGGTGTTCCTTCAGATAGATGTTCCCCTTAGATGTTCCTCGTGCATATTGTCTCTCTCCTCCTTTATGGTCCTCTTCCACCAATCCCAACTCTGCTACCCACACGCCGAGTACGCTGCTCTCCTCCAATCAGGAGCAGGATCAGCTCCTGCAGTTTGTCAAGTTGGTGAGAGGCAGCTGCGTAGAAGTTTACTCCTCCCCAGCACCATATTGTGGGAGAGCAGATGCATAGAATAAGTCTTAATTCCAGTAACTTTGCCTAGTCTCAGTTGCTCCCCACACAAACACAGCCCCCGACTGCTCCTGGGAAGCCGCACACTGGGAGTGCCTGTCTCAGTGGGGACAGGAATCACCCTTGGGAATCGCAGGTGATTGCTGTCACGCATCACCGTCTGTCCCTGCAACACCAGATCCCCAGCCTTATGAGGGTAGCACTGCTTCTACAAGAAGCATCCAACAACACTGGACTTAACATTTCAAGTTTTCTGACCCAGAAGTTAGCCAGCGTTTTCCTTTATGTTCAGCCAGAATCTGCTCTGTGTGCCAGCTGCTCGCACCGTGCTGGCCGAGGAACGGGCGTCTTACCGGCTCCAGGCTCCAGGGACAGGGTCTTTTTGCATAACGACCCCTTCCCGTTGGCCGTGGGGGGCTCGGTCCCTTTCTTGATGACCACGAGGGCGTCTCTGTGCAGCTGTGCCTGGTGCAGGACCTTCACGACGTCCCCGTGGGCTAAGCCGGCCAGTGAGGTGCCGTTGACTGACAGAAGGAAATCCCCTCGGCGCATGGTCCCTTCCTGAGAAGCCGCCCCCTGAGAAAACACCCTGTGAACCTGGGACGAGACAGAAGGGGACAACAGGACTCCAGTCAACGCCAGGGAGTGACTGCAGGTCCACACTAAAGGAGCTTTTTGGTTTTTTGTTTAAATTGATTTCTTTTAAAAGGCAATGAGAGAGAGATCTATCCGCCAGTTGATTTCCCAGATGGCCGGGGCTGGGCCAGGCCTAAGCCTGGATCTCCCACGTGGGTGCAGGGATCCAAGGACTTCGGCTGTATTTCCAGGCATGTGAGCTGGGAGGCTGGCGCTGTGGCATAGTAAGTTCAGCATCTGTAGTGCCAGCAACCTATATGAGTGCTGGTCAAGTCCCAGCTGCCCCACTTCTGATCCAGCTCTCTGCTGTGGCCTGGGAAAGCAGTGGAAGATGGCCCAAGTGCTTGGGAGACCCAGAAACTCCTGGCTTCTTGCTTTAGATGGGCCCAGCTCTGGCCGCTGTGGCCATTTCAGGGAGTGAATCAGCAGGTGGAAGACCTCTCTCTCTGCCTCTCAAATAAGTAAATCTTAAAAACAAAAAAACCAGAACGCCAGATTGCAAGTGGAGCAGCCAGGACTCGAACCAGTGCTTATACTGGATGCTGGTGTTGCTGGGGGTGCTCAACCTGTTATGCCACAACACTGGCTTGGTAAAGAAACTTTCTACTGGCAAGTTCTGTAAGTTAACCAAATACTTGATTTGTCAAAACCACATATACAGTGTAGGGCACAGAATTACAGATGTCAGTACAAGCATCTGTACTGTTTTTTTAAGGTTTATTTATTTATTTATTTGAGTAGCAGGGAGAGGGAGAGACTCCCTGCTAATTGCCTGGCAAAAACAGTGGGAGATGGCAAAAATGTTTGGGATTCACCCACCTGGGAGACCTGCCTGGATGAAGCTCTATTAATGGCCATCTGGGGAGTGAACCAGCGAATGGAAGATCTTTTTTTTTTTTCTTTTTTTAAAGATTTATTTATTTATTTGAAAGGCAGAGTTACAGAGAGGTCGAGAGAGAGAAGTCTTCCATCTGCTGGTTCACTCCCCAAAAGGCCACAACAGCCAGAGCTGGGTTGATCCACAGCCAGGAGCTTCTTCCAGGTCTCCCATGTGGCTGCAGGGGCCCAAGGACTTGGGCCATCTTCGACTGCTTTCCCAGGCCATAGCAGAGAGCTGGATTGGAAGTGGAACAGCCGGGACTCCAGCTGGCAGCCATATGGGATGCAGGCAATGGCTTTACCCGTTATGCACAGTGCCAGCCCCTATATCCCAAAATAAAAAAAAAGTTATCAGTAACACTTTAGCATACTATGTTCCCCATTTTCTTTTTGTTGGGAGTAGGGAACAAAATCCAGCAGTCTTTGACTCCACTGATAGGAATCTGTGCGCTGATCGAATCCTGAGGCTGATGAAGGAAGGTTTTCCTGTCAGCTTCATGGCATCGTCACTCACCATGACTGATTTGGGCTCCACGTCGGTTCCTCCTGCCACACTGAATCCTAGACCTGAGCCTTCTTTTTTATTCAAGACTATGAAGCAAACATCTTCTTTATTCTAGTGAAAAGAGGCAGAAAAAAATTATATTTCTTGTGCCAAGAGTAAGGAAGCTGTGCTGTGAATCTGCCTCTGACCCGTGATTGTCCAGTTCTCCGAGAATCGTCAGAGGAGCCCCACGTCACCGGATCCTGTATCCCTTCTGGGCGGGGCTGGAGAACCACAGCGTAGGTGGACAGGAACCAGGATGGGGTAGGGTCGATTGGGAATTCCTGAGTCTTCAAGTCATTGGGGTGCCACATCCTGTCTTCCCAAATCTGATTCTAGCGCGTAATTTGACCACAAAGGGAATCATTTGATCTACAATTAGCAAAGCCAGTGTCAGTGACCGCAGACGGTGTTGAGAGGCAGGACAAAAGCACACTAAGGCCCAGTGCTTCACTCCCCCTTTCTCCAGGCTTGGGTTATTGGACTTAATACAGAACATGGTAAAGTGAATTGTCAACCCATATTCAGACTGCAGCATTCTTAGTCGTCTCCTGGGGTTAAACAATGTGACGGTCCTGTGTCCCAAACATAGTGAAACATAGCTTGGAACCAAGGGATTTAAAGTGAATTGTCAACCCATATTCAGACTGCAGCATTCTTAGTCGTCTCCTGGGGTTAAACAATGTGACGGTCCTGTGTCCCAAACATAGTGAAACATAGCTTGGAACCAAGGGTTTTAAAGTGAAAGATTAGCCGGGCTGAGTACCATGAACTTTGGCTTCCTTCACTACACACCAGATACGATTCAGCCGTGTTTAAAGATCTGTGTTGCTAAGTTTCAGGTGACTTTATTCTATCACTTCAAGGTGTTCTCAAACAGCAACAGGAAAAGAATCTAACAAACCTTAAGGACTGGTTTGATGAGAAAAAGCGAAACATGGACAGAAAATCAACTTTGATTGCTGGAGTGAGAAGCCCATCTTTAAGTCAGTGACACAGCCTTCTATGTGCTCGTTCGAATGGCTGCAACAGCTACGGCTGGGCCTGGCAAAGCCAGGATCCAAGAACTCCATCTGAGTCTCCCACGTGAGTGGCAAGCGCCCAAGCACTTGGGCCATCTTCTGCTGCCTTCCCAGGTGTATTAGCAGGGAGCTGGACTGGAAGCAAGCAGTCCAGATTTGAACTGGCTCATAAATGGAATGCTGGCATTGAAGGTGGTGGCTTACCCTGCTGGCCCCCAATGATATTTTTAAAAATGTGTTTAGTTTTATTGGTAAGCCATAGGACTCATTTTAAATCTCTCTAAAGATGTTCATTCAAACCAGCGTCCCATATGCTGAAACCAGAATGTCTTGTAGAACTTGGGGAGGTTGGATGTTGATTTCATGGGTGCCTTTAACCATCCAAAGGTACATAGTTCTGAAAGTTCATGGAAAACGGGAATGAAAGATATTTATTTTGGTGCAAAAACCTTTGGCACCCATGTACTTTTTTTCATAAAATGCATTTTTATAAAGCTTTTGAAGACTTTATGTGTATAAATTTCAAAATGTTTTTGGTCCAGAATAAACTGCCCTTTTAATTCCATTTTCCAGAAACTTTATGAAGTACCCTCATAACTGGCTTAGTCATGGACCCATGGAGAGAAAGACGATGACTATTTCTCTAAACAAAAATGGAAACACATAGCTTCGTCCATGACTGTTACCCAGCTTCTGGGGGAAGGGTAACGTGACGCTGAAATATGAGTACTTCTTAGATATTTAGATGTCTTATGGGTGCAGAGAAACAGGACATTCGAAAGTGGGACTCTCGTGCATTCCAGAACATGTTACCATCACATTTCACCTTTATTTTCTTCCAGTGGTGTCTGAGGACACAAATGCACCGGCAGCTGATGGTCAGGCCAAATGTGGCCCCTCGGAGAAGCTGGGGACAGCACTGGGGCACCAGAGCAGCTGGGAGAAGAGGACGCTTCAGGGTTTGGGCACGTGCAAGTCAGAAGGTCTCCCTTCCCTCTCTCACAGCACCATAGGAAATAGCTTTTGCGCTTCTATTTTTAGCACCTAGAAACCACACTTCTGGGGAAAGCAGGGCAGGAAACGTCTGGTGAGAAGACAGCAGTGAGGATGTCTCCACTCAAGGCTCCTCTCTGAAGTCAACTAAAGACAGTAAGGAGACAAGAACAGGGCCAGGTGTTTGGCACAGTGGTTCAGGTGCAGCCTGGGATGCCCACATCTTGTACCAGATACCTGAGCCCCAGCTCCCATGCAGCTTCCGGCTAATGCACACCCTTGGGGGCTGCAGCTCAAGTACTTGAGTTCCTGCCACCCACGTAGGGGACCCAGAGTGACTTTCAGGTCCCTGGTCCAGCCCTAGCTGTTGTGGATATTTGGGGAATGAATCTATGGATGAAAAAGCTTTTCCTTTGTCTAGCTTGTCTCTTTCTCTCTGCCTTTCAAAGAAAATAAATAAAAGAAAGGGAAAGAGAGGTGCATTCTGGTTAATACGGGTGACCTTCAGCCCCAGAGCAAAGCACTTGCCTAGTGGTGAATCAGCATTAAACACAGGCAGCACTCAGCATCCTGTCCACACTCCCTCCCTCTCCACTCCGTGGCCCCTGACACCTGACAGTGTGCGTCGTACGTGTAAGCTTGGTTGCGACTCTTGGTTTCCTCCTTTTACATTTTATCTAAGACCAAAACATCAGGAGAAGGGGCCTGGCAAAGCAGGAAGACCCGTGCCACTGTTGAGACCGCGACCGCAGGTCAGAAGTGCTGGCTTCCTCTTCAATGAGTCCATGACAAAGCATCCTCTGTGCATGCAATCCTGAGACCCACCCAGGGGGCTTCAGACTCAGAATGGATGCTGTGGGTCTCCGATCCACCCTGTTTCCTGAGCTCCCACCCAGCTTCTTAGATCCCCAGGCTGCTGCTTAGCTCAGAAACCTCACGGCTCCTCTGGGCGAGAGCTCAATTGCTGAAGCAGTATTCCTGGATGACACTTGTAATCCACCAGCATTACCACTAAAGAAACGCTGTTGGGAGACCAGTGGCTGTGACTCTAGTGTCCTATACCTGTTTGAGTGCCACCTATTCCACTTTCAGTCCAGCTCCCTGCTAATCTGAGAAAGCAGCACAAGATGGCCCAAGAACTTGGGTCCCTGCACCCACATGGGAGGACAGGATGGAGTTCCAGGCTTCTGGCTTCAGCCTCGCCCAGCCCAGAGAACTGTGGCCTCTGGGGAGTAAACCAGTCTGTTGCTCTGCCTTTCATATAAATAATAAAAAAGAAAAACTCTTCATATTTGGAAGAGCTACAGAGAGAGGAGGAAGAGATAGATTTTCTATCTGTTGGTTCACTCCTCAGATGACAGCAAAGTCAAGAGCTCAACCAGAAGCTTCTTCCAGGTCTCCCACATGGGTAGCAGAGGTCCAAGCACTTGGGGCATCCTCTACTGCTTTGCCAGGTGCAGTAACAGGGAGCTGGATGGGAAGTGGAGTAGCCAGGATTAGAACCGGCACTCATATGGGATGCCAGCACTGTAGGTGGCAGCTTTACCCACCACACCACACCACACCACACCACCAGGCCTGAAATCCATTTTTTTTTTTTTTTTTTTTGACAGGCAGAGTTAAACAGAGAGACAGAGAGAAAGGTCTTCCTTCCGTTGATTCACCTCCCAAATGGCTGCTACAGCTGGTGCTGTGCCAATCCGAAACCAGGAGCCAGGCACTTCCTCCTGGTCTCCCATGTGGATGCACGGCCCAAGGACTTGGACCATCCTCCACTGCCCTCCCAGGCTACAGAGAGCTGGAATGAAAGAGGAGCAACTGGGACAGAATCCGGTGCCCCAACCAGGACTAGAACCTGGGGTGCAGGCAGAGGATTAGCCAAGTGAACCATGGCGCTGGCCATGAATCCAATATTTTAAAAAAGACTTTTTGGGACTGGTGCGGTGGCATAGTGGGTAAAGCCACCACCTGCAGTGCTGGCATCCCATATGGGTACTGGTTCATGTCCTGACTGCTGCACTTCCGATCCAGCTCTCTGCTATGGCCTGGGAAAGCGGAAGATGGCCAAAGTCTTGGGCCCCTGTACCCATGTTGGGGGGCCTGGAGGAGGCTCCTGGCTTTGGATCAGCACAGCTTCAGCCATTGCGGCCAACTGGGGAATGAACCAGTGGATGGAAGACCGACTTCTCTCTGCCACTGCCCCTCTGTAACTCCGACTTTCAAATAAATAGATACATCTTAAAGACTGCTTTTGCTATTTCTAAGTCTCTCCTTGGTCTTTCCCTCTGAGATTCAGATACTGCTACCTCAGGCTTCAGGGACCTAACTCTCTGTCACCAGCAGGTGGCTCCCGTGGCTAGTTTATGTCCCCACTCCTCATGGTCATTCTCCAGCATTTCCAAGGTGTCCAGTTCCGCAGAGGACCCTCTACGGCCAAACTGCGAACGTGGGGCACGGAGAACGGTAACCGGTTGCTGCTGGGCGACTAAAACCGCAGTGACCCTAGTTGGGGCACTGAATGTTCAAGACCAGGCCTGGCTTCTGAAGCCAGCAGCCGCAAGGGGAGCGAGAGCCACCTGAGCTGTGGACTCGCGGCCCAGGGCAGCCCTTGCAGGACTCTCGGAGGCCCCTCCTGCGCTGGCTGAGCTGGTGGCGCACACCTGGCCACCAGCCCCATCACGGCTTCACCTTCCCACGTGCGCGTTGCCTCACTCACCTCTGAGTGTGCTTTCACTTCCTGAAGGAGAGTTAGGACAGTGGATTTTGACCCCACTGAAGACAAAACGGCTTGAACTCTCTCCTGGTCCCCCGCCGAGACGTGAAGTTGATCCAAACTAAGTGACAGAAACACATGGGTGAATGGCGGTGAGAACAGCGGGCTGACCCTCTGCAGAGATGCATCTCAGATGCTCGTTCGCTTCGTGACAGGGGTTTCCTGGTCTTCCTGCTCTCTCTGGCCATAACTCCCACTCCAGACGCATCCAGCGAGCCTGGATGCCAAATGGGAACGAGCTTCACTGGGCGTGGCAGTGCCGTGGCTTCGGAGAGCTCCAGACGTTAGGGGCCCAGTGCCAGAGCCCAGCATGTCTCTGATAAGCACTGAATATGAAGGCTCAAGTGAGAGACCATAAAAGATGTTTACTGCAGCCACCTTCAGGCCCAGCTCCTCCCTGAAGTGAGCCCGCCCCTGCCCCATGTGTTGCTGTCACTTGGGTGCCACCTTCTCTTAGGGTGACATTTTGCAAACATGTTTCCCTTGCAGGCACTTTTGATTTTTCTAGTCATGACGATAAAAAACACAGGGGGCAAAGTGCAGTGTGCCAGCCTGGATTAGGAAAAGGACACTGCTGGATCTCAGCGGGATCTGCACAGGGCTGGTAGCTGGTTAACAGTAGTGTTAAACGTGCAGACAAAGGGACTGTGGCTATGCAGGCTGTCAACACTTGGGAGAGCTGGGCGAGAGGCCCAGGGGCATTCTGCACTATCTGCAACCTTCCTATTCATCTAAAACTATCCCAAAGTGAAGCAAGGTTATTTAAATGAATGGAGGAGGAAGCAGGTGTGTGGCGGAGCAGTTAGGGACTGCGTCTCCTAACCCATGTGTCTGTCTGAGACCTTGCTCTGCTCCCGATTCCAACTTCCTGCTAATGCGCACCCTGGGAGGTGGCAGTGGTGGCTCAAATGGTTGGGTTCCTGCTGCCCATATGGGACATCTGGCTTTGGGCTGGCCCAGGCCTTGCTATTACAGGTGTTTGGAAAGTGGACCAATAGTTGCAAGGTCTCTCTCTGCTTTTCAAATAGTGATTAATAAATAAAACCAAGTTTACAAAGGTGAAAATCACCTCTCAGACGCTGATATAAACGTGAGCAGATCTTGGGTAAAGAACCTCATGAAACAGTAAAGAGCTATAAGAATAATAAATAAACGGGGTGGAGGGTCCTGTCCTAGTGGCGGAGACGCCTGTTAAGACTCTCAGGTCCCATGCTGGGGTACTTTAGCTCTGCTAACACAGACCCTGGCAGGCAGCAGTGATGGCTCAGGTACTGGGGTTCCCGGCTCGTGGCGTGGGCGTTTGGGGAATGGACCCACGCACGGGAGCTCCTGTGGTTCCCTGCCTCTTTCGTAAATAAGTAATAACTAAGGCAGATACTCACTTAACCGACCAGCCTTTTCCACGAGGTGGATCCGGGGTGGTGTCCTGCTCATCACTGGCTGAAGCGGGGGCCTCAGGCTCCCCGGCTGTAGGGCTGCTTCCTCCTGGACAGGCCCCCCTTCCACGCTCGCCAGGACTCGAAGGGGCGGCAGATCCCTCCCGGTCTGAGAGGCTTCCAGCGGTGGCACCCAGCGCCCTCCTGGGCACGATCTCCAGCTGGGTTTTGAAGAGCACGGTGGTGGGCCCTGCCGTGTACCCCTCGCTGCACAGCTTGTCCAGGTCGGGCATGCTCAGGGCTCGCAGTTCCTGCAGCTTGGAGCGGGACACGGGTGAGGGCTGGGCATGGCGCACAGAGGACTTGTTCCTCTTGACGGGCGAGGCCGGGGTCACCGTTGCAGTGGGGATGCCCGAAGGACTGGCTGATTTCTTGTGGTCTGAATCGGGGTCTTTGTTGCTGGGCTCCGGCAGGGTCTGCCGGGAGACGGTCAGCGTCACGCTGGATGGGGACCTGGTCGTCTGGGAGAGGAGGGCACTGGCTTCACTTTGGCTTTCACTGCAGGAGCTCAGGCTGCGTCTTAGCGACCTCACTGCTGCTGCTGCTGGGTCTCCGGGGTGGCCCAGGCTCCCCGAGGCAATGCTGCCGGATGACCGTCTCCCAATGGGAGGCTTGGAGCTCACCGATAAGAACGGGGATGCCGCCGACCTGGCTGCGGGCCGGTCAGAATTGGCCAGGTTCTCAAAAGACTTGATCCTCTGCTTCACGGAAAAAAATGAGGTAGATTCCTGGGGCCAGTTCTGCTCGTAGTAGTGATGATGTCTTCTGGTGACTTTGATCTTGTCAGTGACCAGATACCTGGTCTCACGGCCTGCGGTGGCGTCCCCCTCGTCTGCTGGCGGGAGGCCCCTGGACGCCTCCTGGAGCAGCTTTGCACCACACACGCCCTGTCCGTTAGCCAGGCCGAGCACAACGCCTTTGGCTGCCTGTGGCTCGGGGACCTGGCCGTCCCGAGGGGAGCGCCTTGGGCTGTGCGGGGAGTAGTGACCCTCCCGTCCGAAATGGCTGGAGAACTGGGCCGGCATGGAATAGGTCCTGGTTGCTGGCCTGGGCAAGAAGTAGGGGGGGTCCTCCCCTGCAGGGCCCGTGGCTATGCCGCTGTGGGGCATCCCTGGGGAGTCCTGCGTCTGGCTCGGGGTTCCCTGGCTGGAAGGATCTGCCGTCTTTGCAGGCACGCGTGGGGAGCAGGGGGAAGCAGGTTTGGCCACAGTGAGCGATGGTTGTGCTTCCTGCTCCGCCTGGGAGGCACAAGGCATGGGAGAGGCTGGGTGACTGGGGCAGAGTCTGGTCTCACTCCTGTCCTGACTCTTGCTCTGGGCCGAGAGCCCTCCCTGTCGGTCCCTCGCAGCTGACTTGTCACCACATGGGCCCTTCGGTATTCTTTCAGAAGTGACCTCGGCTGTCTGTAGCTGGCCGGGGACCCCCGGGGGATCGCCAGCGACTCCTCGGCTCCCTCTGTCACCAGCTGCTCTGGGCTGTGTGGCGTCCGAGGCCAGGTCTGTGTGGCTCTCCACGTGCTGCTTGCTGTGTCTGATGCCTGCAGCGGACACGGTGGCAGTCGCTGGCGCGGGGTCAGCTCGGGGCACCTGGCTTTCCTCCCCACCCCTAGAAGAGCTGGGGGTAGCCGGGGAGCCTCCACTGGGGTCTGAGTGTGCAGCCATGGGGGTCGTCTTGGAAGAGGTCAGGGGCTGGGCGAAGGCCTGGATGCTCGAGTCCGACGCTGAGAGCTTCAGTGGCCCGGCGGCCGCCCGGGGAGGCTGGGGGGAGGCTGCGGCGGCTCCGTCGGGCCCCTCATGGTCAGCTCCGAGGAGCCGCTGGCACGCTCCCCTGGAAAGCACCTTGTGGGCGGGCGGGGGGGAAAGCAGGGCTTTCCGGTGGTCCTTGGCAGAGCCGTTGGCGGTGCCATCGGAGCCCACCTTGCTCTTGCTTTTACCGCCCAGCCCCTTCAGCCTGGGCCCGCACTTGGACTTCTGACAGGCGCTCCACAGGGTCTCCACTGAGCTCTTCCGAGGCGGCTCCTTAGGTTCAAGGTTCGTTTTCAGCGGAGGGGGGCTGTGAGGCCCAGCAGCCCCCCTCCTGTGGTTGAAGCTCAGAATTCTGGACTCGGGGCTTCTGGCTGGCATCGTGGCTGGTTCCTTCTCGGCCTTGCTCTGCGGGTGCGCACCTAGGTGGTTTCGGTTTATTTCTTTAAACCAGGCCACGACGGGCCTCCTGCAGGTCAGTTTGGGTTTCTGCAGGAAGTCGCCATGATTCTCGAAGTGTCGGTTTGCAGTCTCCGGCACAGCCACACCGGAGGGGGCTTCTTGCTTATTTGAGGTTCCGGCACCCAGCAGGTCACGTTCCAAGCCGTTTACCATGTGTGGGGAGCTGGGTGCGGCGGGGAGGTCGTGCAAATGTCCCTCGAGTTTAGCGTCAGCCGGGCTCCCGCCGGTGACCTCCGGGGCTCTGGGAGAAACGCTCACGTCTGTGTGACTTTGGTGCTGCTGTGAAGTAGGGGGGGAGCCCGGCCGGGCAGCGCTGGGGACCTGCGAGGGCGAGGCCCCTCGCTCCCACGGGCCTTCCACGGAGGCGCTCAGAACACTGGGCTTCAGGGGCAGCACCCGGGCCACGGCGGGGCAGGGCGCACGAGCACCTGCCGGTGCTGCGGCGGGGGCGCGGCTTGCGGAGCAGATTTCGATTTGCTCCTCTTCCGACCCCGCAGTCTCTTCCTCGCAAGGAGACCTGGGAGAAGGAGGCGCCCGCGAGGCCTCAGGGAGCGACTCGGGGTCCGAGGACGAGTCCTCAGCGTCCCCGTACATGGAGGAGAGAGACGGCTCCGTGCTGTCTCCCGGGCCCGACAGGGAGAGGCTGTCGTCGTAAAAATTGCTCAAGTTTCGCGAGTAGTTGCTCAAGAAGTTCTTGTTCACAGTAAAATGTCTGTCGGGGTTGATTGCATCCAAAACCGAAGGCTGGGAGGCCCACTCCCGGGGCGGGGCGGGCCCGGCAGCCCAGACCCTTCTGGGGGAGGGCGTCCGCTCGCCTGGGACTGGCTCTGCATTGGGGGGACTGCCCCCTGTGGCTCCAGCTGGCGGGCCGCCCTGGGGGCCCTCAGGTCCCCCTGGAGGGCAGGACTGGGAGGTTGCTCTGGAAGCCTCCAGCTCCCTGATGAATCTGTCAATGTCTGTGACGGGGCTCTCTCTGCTCCCTAGAAGGCAGCAGTGGCCCAAGACTCCATCCCCATGGCTGTTGGCCTTGTCGGGGGTCAGCGGCAGGGGCGGGCTGGCCTGTGGTGTCCTCACTGACCGGGAGTCTGTGCCGTCGCACACTGCAGCCTCCTGGGAGCCTTCCGGGGCTTGCTGTCCTGTGGTTCCCGCAGCCTTGCTCAGGTTACCTGGCGTCGTCTCCTGGGAGCTGAGGTCTGGGGATAGCAGGGCCGGAGCTGAAGTTACTTCCTGGGGAGCAGCCGCCTTCCAGGTGCTGTGGGGTGAGCTGGCTCCCCCTGGGGACGTGCTGCGCTCCAGGGTGAGCCTGGCTGCAGAGCTGCCCTGGGACTCGGGCCTGGAGCCCCTGGGCGATGCAGGCTGGCCCACTTGCCTGGCGGTGTCTAGCGAGGCCTTGCTGGGGGAAGGGATGAGGGCTGGGGGGCGCTCCGGTCCTGTGTGAGGAAGGCAAACAGAAGGTGAGGTGGTAGGGGAGACGCGGGGATCTCATGAGGAAACGGGAAAGCTCTCAAATGTTTAAAAAAAAAAAAAAAAAGTGCAGTTACCTCAGGGCTTTTAGAAACATTCCACAGCCAAAATGTGGGCCGCCTTGCCTTCCAAATCACACGGCACCCATTCCACACACACACACACACACACACACACCCCGTGGTACTTTAGACACCCTAACGGAGTTCAGGCTAGTTTGTAGAATGCTTGTGTGTGCTTGTTTTTCTTTTAAAATTTTTTTTTATTTTGATCTATTTGAAAGACAGAGCAACAGAGCGAGAGCAAGAGAGCGAGAGCGAGCGAGCGAGCAAGCAAGCATCTTCTATCTGCTGGTTCACTCCCTAAATGGTTGCACCAGGTGGGTTTTGGGCCAGGCAAGCATCAGGAGCCAGGAACTCCATCTAAGCTTCCCACATAGGTGTCAGAGCCATTCTCTGCTGCCTCCCAGGCGCAGTAACAGGAAGCTGGATCAGAAGCAGAGAAGTCAGGACTTGACCCAGGCACTCTAATGTGGCAAGCGGGCATCACAAGCAGCAGCTTAACCAGCTGCACCACACAATGCCCGCCTCGTTTTTGCTTATTTTTATGGACGGGGACATCCGTAAAAATTAAAGAACCCTTTGAAGATGACCCACTGCTCTGTGATGGCAGATGCTGCAGGAGTCAGGCCGTTCTGTTGGGTTCTGTGGCTTCTGCACGGCTTTGGCCGTCCCAGCACCCGGTGGGCCCTGAGTGGGTTACCCTCGTGTTGGAAGAAGTGAGAGGGCACCGTGTGGAACAGGCCAAACTCGGAACTGAAGGGCCTTCCTTCTTAGCGTGGGAGATGGGGCCACGTGGGGAAAACAGAAACCCCTGCCACTGGGATCCGCGTGTTGATGGAGCTGGCAGGGATGGGAGGGCCGGCGGCAGGGAGACAAGGCAGGGTCTGGCCAGAGAAGGATGAGGACGAAGGCGAGAAAGACAGAATGCAAGCTGAGCAGCAGGAGCGTGAAAGGGGACGAAGGTCCTGCCACCCAGGGAGGGGCTCTGAGGGGCCGCCTGTCCTGGGCGGGCCTGCTCTGAAGGCCCTGTGCACCCTTGGGTGGACAGTCCACCTCTGGCACATAGCAACTTGCAACGGGGGCGGGGGGGGGGGGAGGAGGAAACTGGCTTAAGACAGAACCTAAGAACAACGCTTAGGAACTGTGGGTCGGAGGTTCGACAAGTGGGTCCACCCCACAGGTTGTATCCATTCTGCATCTCTCACAAAACCATCTTAATTGTGTATGATTTTTTTCCCTGCAATTCCTGTGTCAAAGACAGAGAATGAATTATGCAGGCTGAGCCCTGTGCTAAGAGTTTTTCTAATAATGAGGGAGTTAGAGAACCAAGCTAAGAGTTTTCCAGGTATTTCATTTTCCTGCCAACGTGGTGAGGCGAGTCCTAGGGCACCCACATGGAAGGGCAGGGAAGGGATGTGTCTGAGGTCGCAGGGTTTATGGGTGGTAGAGCCAGGGAGGCACCCCCCCGGAAGCCGGCTGCACAGCCCACTCTGGCCTAAACCCTGACGGCATGACTTCTGTGTCGGGAGCAGGTGGCAGCAACAAGGCTGGATGCCGGACACCCACAGAGATGGTGTCACTCTCCCAGCCCACTGCTGAAGGCCGAGCCTCAGATCCACACGCTCGTTCCTGCTCTGCCTTTCCCTGAACTCCCTTGAGCCCAGCTTTCAGTAAATGCGGCAGGAGAGCAGTGACAGGGATTGCAAGCCTGATTTTTAGCTTCAGATGTACTCGCTGAGCAAACCCCAACAGGCAGTTTTTGTCAGCCGTGTGGCTTTATTGCCCAGTGTGTAACGTACAAGGGTTTTGCTTCAGGGAGATGACATTAACACAAGCAGCCTTTGATGTCACCTGTCAAGGTGATCCTTCATTTGGAATTCCCCTAAATACCCAGGAATGGCAGGATCGGCAGGAACGGCAACTTGACCGTGGCACATGGAGGGCTGAGGGGAGTGGCACCTGAACAGCTTCCTGGCTGGCACAGGCTGCAAGCCCACTAGGAGCGGTCTTGGGACTCCAGAAAACAGCTCAGGGTCAGTGTCATTTTCATGGCAGTACGGAGTAAAAACGGTTAGGTACTAGTGACCACCAACAACCTTTTTCTTTTTCTTTTTTACAAAAAGAAAGAAAAAGAAAAATGTAAGACTGATTGGTGCATTTCTTTGATACATGTTCTTATACGAGGATGCTTCAGAAAGTTCATAGAAAATGGAATTAAAAGGCATGTTTAACCTGGTGCAAAAAAAATTTGAAATTCATACGTACAAAGGAGTCTTCAAAGAGTTCATCGAGAATGCATATGAGAAACTATGCATATCCTGAAAATCTGCATGGACTTCAAAATATTTATCACCAAAATAACCCTACATTAAAAAATATTTTCATTTTATTTGAAAGGCAGAGAGACAGAAGAGAGGGAGAGAGAAAGGGAAAGAGAGAGAGAGAGACCTCCCTTCTGCTGCCAAATGCCAGCAACAGCCAAGGTCGGGCCAGGCTGCAGTGAGGAATCTGGTACTGAATCTGGGTTTCCCAAGCACCTGAACCCTCACCCGCTGCCTCCCAGGGTTTGTATTAGCAGGAGGCTGGAATTCGAAGTGTAGCAAGGACTTGAACTCAGGCACTGTGATACGGGATACGGTGTCCCAGCAGTGTGCTGACTGCTGCCACAAATGCCCATCAGTGTAACTCACTGAAGGCAGGCTACGCACTAGCAGTGCTCCAGACGCTATAATGAAAACCCTCACAATGTCCCCTCAACAACCGCATGGGGTGGGCAGCCTGGGACCCAAGAGACGCCCAGGATCACTTCCCTGAGAAATCCGGAGCTCGGATTAGAACCCAGGACATCTGTATGTGGCACCAACCCAGGTGCTTAACCACTAGCTGGCCTGTCATTTTGGAAGTTTAAAAAGGAGACTGTTTTCAAGATAAAATGTTCCTTGTCTTATCCGTCACGCATCTCAGATCTTTCCCTTCACACAGGATGTGTTTGGAAGAACACCCTTCCTGCACACTGGACAGCAGCCGAGCTGCTTGGAACGGAATTGGAAGGAAGCAGAGCTGCTACCAGCAGTCACCTTGTCGGCAGGACCAGCTGGTCACAGAGAGCCTCTTAATTAGGGAGGAGAGAGAAAAATCTGCAAAAAGGAGCCAGAAGCCCTAAAAAAAAAGAAGAAGAAATGTCAGGGATTGGATAACTTCAGATAACGAAGGGTCTTCAAAAAGTTCATGGAAAATGCATATTATGAAGAAAACTACGGATTTCAAAATCTTTTGCACAAAAATGAACTTTGAAAACTATTTTAAATTATTTGAGACATAGAGAAAGTGACAGCGAGAGAGAGACATGGACGATGCTCTCTCCTCTTGGCTGGTTCACTCCCCAGATGCCCACAGCAGCCAGGCCTGTGCCAGGACAGAGCCAGGAATTCAATTTAGGTCTCCCAGGTTGGTGGCAGGGACCCTACTACTTGAGCCATCACTTGCCTCCCAGGATCTGCATCAGCAAGAAGCTGGAGTCGGGAGTTGGAGCCAGGCATCAAACCCAGGCACTAGTGTGCTAACTGGTGTCTTAATTGCTAGGATAAATGCCTGCCCTGGTAAATTTATCTTTTAATTTCATTTTCCCATGCACTTTTTGAAGTGCTTTCATACTTCAGATACATTCCCAAAGCCCCAGGAGGGCGCCAGTATGTCACTGCAACATAGTAATCAATCTTCATAATGAGGACCCTTATAATCACAGAGTAGAATGATAACCAATACATGTGTTTCAGTGGCAAGTACATGTTAACTAACTCTGGCATACATATTAGTGTGCATTAAACAGAATCAGTTCCTGGCATGAGTATTTATGGGTTTCTCAGTAGATGCCAGAGACCCACAGTGGCTTCTTTGTCAAGGTTCATTGCCTGTGGGCAGGTCAGAGAAGGCTGACAGAAAACACCCAGATACCCAGAGTGGACAAAGGTCAGTGCTAGCCAGCACCACGCAACACAAGGCAGGTAGGAAACACAGGAAAGTAGAGGGTGAGTGGGAGAACAAAGTCTCTATGTTTAAAGTTTTTGAATTCGAGAGATCTTCCAAAGATTCAGAAAGTGCACACTATGAAAAAAACACATGGATTTTCAAAATTTTGGCATCAACAAAGACATCTTTTGATTCCAGTTTTACATTAACTTTCTGAAGTACCCCCGTGTATCACAGTACAACTTGCTGTGTAGGAACCCATTTACTTAAAGCACAAACCCTTGGTATTCAGAAAGACTTGCCTATGTAGAATAAAAACTTCCTCAAGTGGCAAAAAGGGGAGAATTTTCTGCATTAGGCTGCAGGTTAGGAAGATGTTGGTCCCAGTTGGAAAAAATAATCCCCTGCTGTACCCTACCCTCAGGGTGGGTGCCCTCCCACCCTGAGGCCAAAGCGAACATGGATTCCAAGAAAACTTCCAGAGATCGTTACATAGAGCGCATGCCCATGAGATGGAGGAAGGTGACACCAAGGGCTGCTTCCATCCCCAAAGTTCAGACACTGTGCAATACAGTCCAATCCCTTCCAACTCGCCTGCTGATGTCTGTTCACGGAGTGAATGTGAACCTGGAAGAACAGAAACCGCAGTAGCGGCAGCTCCCGGGGTGGAGGGACAAGAGCCTCTACCCTCTGGGGGCAGCCATCAAGGTGTGGGATGGGTATTCTGGGGTTCCAGGTTTTTAACTGACAGGTGAGGCTATCCTGTTCTCCCCACCGCCAGAGTCTGCCGATGCAGCAGGAGGCAGCTCTACCGCAGCCAGGCCAGCCAGCCAGAGCTCCCGCAGAGCCAAGCGGGTCGCCGTTGGTGGGGGGACCAGCCCCTGGGAAGATGGTGCCCTCCCCACAGGGTGCACCTTTATTTTTATTTTTAAAAAAGGATTTATTTATTTGAAAGGCAGAGTGACAGAGAGGGATGGGGGAAGGGAGAAAAAAGAGAGAGGAGAGAGAGGGAGAACTTCCATCTACTGGTTCACTTCCAAAATGCCGGCAACAGCTGGGGCGGGGGTGGGGGGGAAGGCAGGGCTGGGCCAAAGCCAGGAACTAGGAACTCCATCCGGGTCTCCCGCATATGTGTCAGGGGCCCAAGTCCTTGGGCCATCATCTGCTGTTTCCCAGGGACATCACCAGGAAGCTGGATCGAAAGCACAGCAGGACTCCATCCCAGGCCAGAGTGCACTTTCAGAATATAAATTATGAGTGAAGGTCTCCACCAACAAGGAGGCTAGGCCACTTATTTCAAGTCAGTTTGATTTTAAACAACCACGCTGCATAGTAACTTGGATGACTACTAAATGATCAGCAGCCAAGTACACTTGGGGAGGATGTCTGCTTCCGTGACATTACGCCTTCTCCCATCAGCATTTACGTTTAGGTTTCGACATGAATTATTTTCTCTTGTGACCGTATCTCTGTGCACTTGATTTCACAGAAGCAATGCTGAGTTTATGAAGGCTGGGAAATCCTCCCCACTCATCAATCATGTGTGTCCTTCGTGTTACCAGGCGGGTAAACTAGTATCAACTGGCTAAAAACGGATGCATTCAATGTGGAATTAAAGCTATGAGTTCAGGGGTGGGCATTTGGAACAGCAGTAAATCAGTGCTTGAGACACCCACATCCCCTATCAGAGTGCCTGGTTCGAATCTTGTCTACTCTGCTTCCAACCCAGTTTCCTGCTAATGCGCATACTGGGACAGCACGTGCTGCTCAACTACTTGGGTCCTTGCCGCTTGCCTGGGAGACCCGGATTGAGTCACCAGCTCCTGCCTCAGCCTGCCCGAGTCCTGGCTGCTGCAGGTATTTTAGGAGTGACCCAGTAGATGGGAACGCCATTCTCTCTGCCTTTCAAATAAAAATGAGCATAAATATAAATTTTTAAAAATATTCTGAAAAAAACTACGCATTCCAGTACAAAGATCTAGTCAAGTTATTAAATGCAGGCAGTATTTAAACATCACTAGTTTGTATAAGAGGGATTTATCCCTCCCTCAAAGTTACCCACTTTCATTAGGGGTCCTACCTTCCTGTCTTGAGGTTTACCGAGTGATGAAGTATCTTACCTGTCATGGGCCGATGCCCTTGCTCTGGAGCGGCTCTGGGCAGGTTCCCTGGGGAGTGGCCAGTGTCCAGGTGGGACGGGGCACTAGCTGCTGGCCCATAGTCGGTGGGGACAGGTCCATCCCTGAGGGTCAGCTGTCCCCGAGGTTCCTGGCACAATGATAATCCCAAGTCACTGTAAATGCCTTCCAGCATAAGACATCCTGTCCGAGGGGACTTCAACAAGTTTATGGGTGGAAAATGGAATTAAAAGATAAGTTTATTTAGGCACTCAAATATTTGAAATAAATGTGTACAAGGGGCCTTTAAGAAGTTCCTGGAAAATGCACCTTGGGAAAAACTGATGCATGGATTTCAAACTTATGTTTTTGCAACCAAATAAACTTCGAATTCCCTTTCCCCACAAGCATTCTGAAGTTCCCTTGTATAGAGGAGAGCTCCTGGGGGGAGGTCAAATGAGGCAGGAGTGGCTCTGGTGCAGTGGATACAACGGTGCTTGGGAGGTCCTCGTCCGTGTCAGTGCCGGGGGCAGCGCCTTCCTCTCCTCCGGACTCCAGCTTCCTGCCAGCTGCATCCTGGGCAGCAGCAGGTGACAGCCTAGGTACCTGGGTCCCTGCCATCCACGTGGGAGACCAGGATGAAGCTCCCGGCTCCTGGCTTCAGCCTGGCCAGCTCCAGCTGTTGTGCACACTTGGAGAGTGAACCAGCAGGTAGAAGTCTGGCTCTCAAGAAATTAAGGAAATTCCAGAATATTAAAAAGTTGATTTTTTTAGAGAGCTCTGGGCTAGCAGCCAGAAGATCCAGAATCTGGAAATTGCATACTCATTCTTCCCTAAGCCTCAGTTTTCTTTTTCAACATTAAAAATGGGAATAAAGTTTTCTTGGTCATACAGACAAAAGAGGCTGAAGTGAAGAGTGAAAACAGCACACAGAATATAAAAGGCGATAGAGACATTAGGTGCTATTATGTTGCAGGGATCCACGGCTATAAAATCAACTTCGGGAGCGAGGGGGAGGACTACTCTGGACAAATCAAACTGGCACTTAGAGCCCAAGATTGCCCACTGGCCGGTGTCAGCTATGTCACCCTTCTTTCCTCCAATACCCACTGCAGAAACATCTTGAAACTTATTAAAAAGTTCAAGCAGATTTAGGTGAAATCTATCCATTGAGTTAATGGGTCATAAAGTGGCTGGTGACTGTGGCAGAGGCGCAAGGCGAAGGGGCCGCTGTGTGTGCCAGCGACCCTGGTGAAAAATCGGTGTGCAAAATTCAGTTACCAGGGGAGGGAAAGCCACCCATGGTTTAACCCAATTTTCTATGGACTCCATGGACATAAATGTAACACAGGAACAGCGCAAGAATTCTGGAATCAGAGGTGGTGGCTGCTTGGGGAGAATGCCAAGTGCTGCTCAATCGTACGCTTTACCGTGGTTAATTTTGTTACGTGAATTTCACCTCAACAGTGTTGAATAAAAACCCCAGAAGACGATTCCTTCATTTCCAAAGAGGAAGGCTTTTTGTGTTTTTTTTTTAATTGTCTACTATTTGAGGACAAATACCTTTTGTTAATGTGCTCTATTTTCTTTCTCATATAAATAAAATCAAATTATATACTTAAAATTTTTAGGATAAAAATTAAATTATTTTGTACAAAAGTCTTAAATTCACAAATTCAGAATCATGAAAGCTCTAATTTTATAAGATGTCAATTATGAACAAAATCCCGATTTGGCTTCATATTGTTATCTAAAACTTGTTGATAATACTTTTTTTTTTTGACAAGCACAGTGGACAGTGAGAGAGAGAGAGACAGAGAGAAAGGTCTTCCTTTGCCGTTGGTTCACCCTCCAATGGCTGCTGCGGCCGGCGCACCGCGCTGATCCGATGGCAGGAGCCAGGTGCTGCTCCTGGTCTCCCAGGGGTGCAGGGCCCAAGCACTTGGGCCATCCTCCACTGCACTCCCTGGCCACAGCAGAGAGCTGGCCTGGAAGAGGGGCAACCGGGACAGAATCCGACGCCTCGACTGGGACTAGAACCCGGTGTGCCAGGGCCGCAGGTGGAAGATTAGCCTATTGAGCCGCGGCACCGGCGATAATACTTTTTTAAAAGAAGAAATTTACCCACTGGCTGAACATTATCTTTTAAAACTCATTTGCAGTTTGGAGGCAAAACATTATTTTTTCATTTTTCTCTCACACATTTTATCTATTTTTTAATGTATTCAAACATGACAGAGAGAGGGAGAGGGAGGGGGAGAGAGAGAGAGAGGGAGGAAGGGAGAGGGAGGGATCAGAGAGAGCTCTTTCATCCACTGGTTCACTCCCCAAATGCTCTCAACAATCGTGGATGCGCCAGGCTGAAGCCAGGAGCCTGGAACTGAACCACGGTCTCCTGGTGGGTGGCAGGCACCCAAGTCCTTGAGCCATCACCCACTGCTTTCCCAGGTTGCACGTCAGCAGGGAGTTGGGATCGCAGTGGAGCCAGGATCTGAACCCAGGCACTCCAGTGTAGGATGCGCCTGCCCAATGTCCACTCTGCAAACAGGATTTTTTTGGGCTGGGGTTGGGGGTAGAGGTAGGCAAGAAATGTGCAGTTTTATTGTTTTTAAAAATAATACGGTTTTTAAACAGATTTCTGCTCATTACACTTTTTATGACTGCATTTTCTGGGTCTATTTACACCTATGTTTATATAAACCAAACACACATCTTTATAAATAGTGCCTTAGTCATCTTGGATTCTTTGTTCAGAGACAGAGAGAACAATGTTGAGACTGTAAACAACATTAATTGCTCAGTCTCATTGCTCAAGTGGAGAAGTACTGACATTTTAAAACATGAACAATTGGACAGCTCTAATGTGCTGTAACTAAGAGGTGATACCAGCAGTAATAAGTGGCATTTCCTAAGTGAAGGAAGTCCATCACTTCCAGCATTTCATGCCTCTACCAGGGTCTGGGTAGCTCTGATTCTACGTTTCTCTGCAGGGATGTTGGAAAAAGAATTCCTCACAAACTTATTAGTGGGAGAGAATGAGTCAGGTGACACATCTGATGGTCACCCTGGCCCTGTGAGATGACCAGATAGATGGCACAGTCCCTGTGTCCAAGCCATAACCTGCCCAAGTCATCACTCAGCCGTGGCAGCTGGCCAGTGCAGGAGCTAGTACCAGGCTCAGGGTTTCGTCAGCCCGTGCTCCCCCTTCCACCACCAGGCACAGGCCCTGCGTACAGCAAGCAGGCAGCTAGGGCTTCTAGCCGTGTGCTCGTGTGCCTGGCGAGCTGCTGGTGTACCGTATCCCAGTGCTCGGATGCCTGCGGAAGGTAAAGCTCCCTTCACGATCCTGTCTCTACAGCAGGTTCCGTTCCCACAAGGTTCATTCAGAGTCCAAGCAATTAAGGGAACATTACCTTCTCGATGGGTCCACCTGGCTGGAGACCTGTGGCGGTTGCTTTGACGGATGTGGCCTGGGCTGGGAAGTCTGGACCACACGGTTCATCTGCTCTGCCGGTCGGGGCCAGTGTCTCTGTGCCATGGGGCCGGGCCTCAGCCTCGGGTCTCTTGCAGTGAGGGCTGACTCTGGCCACTGGTCTGTGTCGGGACCCCTGGCTTTCACTCTTCTGCTGGGGGGAAGTGGGGCTCTCTGTGCTCACGGGGCTCTGCGGGCCTGCACCGACTCTGGAGTCCAGTTTGGGTGAACTCCTCGCTTCCGAAGGCTCCTTCTGCCCTGGGCCTGCGGGGCCGCCCTCGGCGGCTGCCGCAGAGCACAGCAGGCTGGCCGCCCGGGAAGGAGCGGCCACCATACCCTGGGACACGCTCTCCTCCAAGTCCACGGACCTGCCGAGGAGCGGCACCGAGGAGGCCTTGCTGACCTGCGTCTTCTGGGGCTGTCTCTCCTGCTTGTTGACGTCCGTGACCTTGGAGGAGGCCATCGCAAAGTGTCTGGAGTCATGCTCCGACAGGGGCCTGCCGGGCCCTGGGAGGGCCCCTGGGAGTGAGACGCAGTCCCCTTCTCCGTCAAACTCCCCCTCGTCGCTGGCGTCGTTGGCGTCATAGCAGCCCAGCCGCCTCTGGCGGAGGAGGGGGTTCCGCAGGTCCTGTGGGCTTCCAGGGAGGCTGGTTTGCCTGGCGACCGTCACCTGCTTGTGGAAGAGCCCAGAGACCCGCTGGCTTCCGAGAGCCACGAGGCTGTTGGCCCTGGGTTTCCCCTGCTCCTTGTGGGCTGGTGGGAGGGTTGGGGGGGGGGGGAGAGAGAGAGAGAAGTCAAATGAAACTGAGTTTCCCATGTAGCCTGATCTTCTATAAGGGGTCTTCAAAATGCTCATGGACAACACGTATTATGGAAAAAAAAAAAAAAAAAAAACTACACACAGGTTTCCAAAGAAACTCTGAACTGAAATAAACTTATATTTTCATCCCATTTTTCCATGGGCTTTTGGAAGGTCCCTTATCATCGGAACATTTCCATGTCCACAAATGCCAGACACACTTTCCCCAGGCCCTGGGTGGAGGCTTCCGTGCCGTGGCTCCTGGGGAGCTCTGGAGAGCAGGCGGCCGGCCCACAGCTGTCCTCTGCCTTCCGCTTCTTCCGTTTCTTCACCCCCAGCCTCTGGATTATGCAGCGGAAACGCGCTCACTGTCTGGAGACGGCACAGTGCGATTCCTTCACTGCCACGGTGGTGTCTGGGGCCCAGCCCAGTCCTCCCAGTGCTGCCGCTGGGAATTCCGGGAGCCTGGGACCACAGACTCCACCCACACAGCTGGGCCTCCTTGTCACCTGAGGTCCTTCTTTCATCCACCTTAAGGGGGCTTGATAAGCTCCTGGAAAGTGGTAGAGCAAAGCCCGTGCGGTTGGTTTCCCTGGAAGCCCTGCCGTGTGGCTGCGTGGAGTGAGAATGACGCAGGCCACTGCCCGCTTGGCAGTGGCTCCGGGGCAGTGAGCGTGGCCCTCATCTGCCTCTGCTTTTCCTGTTCATACGTCTGAGAAATCAGCACAGTCATATCAGATTCTCCATCTCATGTTATCTTGAGCAGATAATCAATGAGACAAAAAAAAAAAATCCAACATTTCAACAACTTCTATAAGTTCTGAATCTTTCTTCTTAGTGCCTCCCAAAAAAGAATCAAATTAGGACCGAGTGAGGGAAGGGACCTGGAATTTGGCCAAGATTCTGCAAAACTAGAGGCATCGAGTGGTCCATCCTGATCTGGTGCCACAAAATTCCAGACTGCGCCAGTAAATGCCATCGTCAACATCTGGGCACGGGTGTCCCTAGCCCACGGACTGCCAGGCTGAGCCCTCAGCCCTTAGCAATGGCCACGTTTTCCCAGAGCCAACTCCGGCACGGCCGTGACCCAGCTGGAGGGATGGCGTCCAGACCCCTTAGTCCAGCACCAGGATGGTTAAGCCACCTGTGGCCTCCAGCATACCTCCATGGAATGCAGGGCCCAGGACTTACCAGGGGGCAGGCTGCTGTCCTCAGGAGCGCTGCAGCCGCTTGTGGGGTGATCCTCGTCCTCGAAGCTGGCCACCACGAAGTCCGACAGCGGGCCCGGCACCTCGTGGGCAAAGTACTGGGAAAGCTCAGCCTCAGAGAGGAGAGCATCCTGCCAGAGAAGAGAAGAACAGGGTGCGGGTTGCACGCGATCATCAATGGTAGCGATTTCCTATCTCTCTGAGAACGCTTTGCAGGAGCCCCTGTTCGGTAACCGCCCACCTCTGTTTACCTGTGCATGGCTGCGCTACAGATTCATGAATAAAAACTGCGCCAAACAGTGCTTTTAAGACTTTTTTGCCCCTGGGGGGAGGTGGGAAAACACTTTTTCTGCTGGCTGTGAGCGGAAAAAGCCACGGCAGCCATATGCCAACCATCTCGGGGGAAACACGGGGGCAGGGATGGGAAAAGAAGCTAATTCAGGCCCATGGGTCCAGCCAAGTGACAGCGGGGCTGGAATCCTGCACGGAGACCCTACTGGCTTTGGAAAGGGCTGAGCTGAGGAGGCTTCTGCAGCCTCTATAAACTCAGACTCCAAAAATCTGAGAGGGCCGCTCTCTGTTACCTCTCAATCTGCGGTTCTGTTACTGTTCTATTCCTTTCTGGATGCGTATCCAGTAAGAGAAACACATGTTTGTGTATTCGCAAATGAGCATTGCTGCCACTTCCCAGCTCAGTGGGCTGGGCCCTCCCGCTTCACTCAGGAGCTCCAGGAACCGTCCCTGAGTCAGCTCAGGTGCCTCGACTCACCTTTTTTCCCAGAGAGGGGCTCTTTAAGGGCGTACCTGTTGGGGGAGGAAAAATTACCATATTGTCAAAGCAACGAAGCTCAAACCACAAATAGGCTCAGTTCTTTAACTGACAGAGGAGGGGCCGAATACATCAGGCAAACGCTCCTAGGCTGGGCTGACGGGTGGTGTGCACAGGTAGTGATGCCTTCCCCTCTCGCTGACAACCAGTAACTCACGTCTCAGGTCCTTTCTTCCAGGACACCCATCTGAGCTCAGAAAGATTGGAAGAGCCCCTTAAGGTTTCCCCGATCCCAGACACGCTAGTTTTAAAACTTGCTACAATGTTTCATATTTTAAATCATATGAAATTCCTAGCAGGCAACCCTTCTCTGCCTGAGTTTTTCCACGTGAGAGGGAAACACCATCTTTGCTGCCTCTGTTGCCCTCTTTGTGTGGAAATGCCTCAGTTCACGCATAGAAATCACAGATTTTGGGATGGGTAATACCTTTGCCTCTACCACATTACTGATATTTGGTTTGATTTCACTTTCATCTATAGCATTTTAGGTGAACTGTGCGTAAGTACATGAAATGCTGCTAACTCACTTTGGCAAATTATTTGAAAGTAGTCTAATGAGCATGCGTGATTAAATCTTTAATGAAGCACATTAAATAACTGCAGAAATCAAAAGTAGCAGCCAAGAGAAAAGCACAGACTGACAGCTGCTTTCATCAATCCTGGTAATTACAGAGAACCCCAGAATATTGCGCCGGTGAGTGCCCGGTGGGCAAAGTTAATGAGCAGCTCTTCTGAGCGTTGAACGAAAATGTGCAATTACAGTACCTAAGCCAGGAGAGGAATTGGCCTCTTTGCTCTCCTGATAAGTGCTGCGTGCTATCACTTCATCCATTTCCTGCTCGGAGACCTAATTTTTAGCAGAAAGCACAAATTAGATGGTTGTATTTATTTGTTTTCCCCAACAACAGTAGATAGGACTAGAGTCAGAGTTGAATGCAGATAAACAGGCAAAACACCAGGTCAAGGTTATGACCATCCTCCAAAGCAATGACTCAGGGCAGGTAAGAAATACAGATGGGTAAAGGGATTGCTTCCAACAATGGATACAAAATAAGACCTTCCATGGGTCCCCAAGTTCATTATCAAGCATTTGCGTGCTGTGATCACCATCAACCCGACTCAGATATGCCCCTTTCTAGAACTCACACTTCTTTTAAAAAATCATACTTAGTTTTTAACCTATAGAAACACCCAAGAGTGATACAAGAATATTACGCTGTTAGCATAGACTCACTAATTTTTAACATTTTGCCTCATTTACATGCATACCTTCTCTACACACACACACACACACACACACACACGATTCAGCCATAACATTTTTGCTAAGCCATTCGCAAGTAACTTGCAGATATCATGACCTTTCACCAGGAAATGTTTCAGCCTGCATCTTCTAAAAACAAGGACATTTTCTTAAATAACCATGACACCACTGTATTAGATTCAGGAAACTTAACATTGATGACTTTGTAAGATAACAGTTTATATTCGAGTTTGTTCAGTTGTTCCAACACTGTCCTTTGAAAAGGACTCCTCAAAGTGTGTCTGTGGGCTGGCTTTAGTTCACATAAAGTTTGACCCCAGCCTGCAATGAGATAAGGACTTTGCTCCAGAATGCAAATTAGGATGCAGCTTCCTTCATCAAAAACAAGCAAACGAAGTCAGCCAACCGAACCAAACGCTGTGTCCAGGCATGGAGCTGATCCCTGCTCCGCTGCCCCCTCATCTTGCTGTCGACCTGGGGCAGCCTCTCCTGGACCAACTTCTTTGCACAGGAATGCTTTACAGAAAAAGTGCTTTTGGCAATCCAGAGTGCGACCCGGGGTCCAGCTGCCATGCGTCTCCAGCCTCCTTTAATCGGAGCCAGTTTCCAAGCTTTTCTGTGTCTTTCATGATGCTGCCAGTTGGAAGAAACCCGTGCACCCTAAGCCCTCCGTGAAGATCTGAGTTACTTCATGCTTCCATTCCCATTATTCCTTTTCTTGGGCAGAAAAACTACAAAAATGGGTTCTTCTCAATGCATCCAGAAGCACTCACTCACTCATGGGCACCATAATTGATGACAATAACTTCAATCTTTTGATTAGGACAGACTTCAGTGGGTTTTTCCATTGGTGGGTTTTTTTTTTTTTTTTTTTTTTTTTGGTCCTTAATGAAAAATTTGAGACTAGGCAAATAGCCTGCTCCCCAGTGTATTTTTACCCCTTGGTTTCAGCATATCACTGATTACTCATGCCTGAGCCAGTTCCTACTATGAAATTTTCAAAACGGTGACCTTGTGCATCTTCATTTCCATGTTCACTACTACCAGGGCTCTTTCTCCCTGTCAGTTGTCATCCACAGCTGTCATTACTCATGGGAAGTTTTTTAAAGCTTGACATACACTGAAATATATGATACTATTTTAAAAGATCCTTAGAAAGAGTTTCTTTTTTAAAGGTAAAACCATTTTAAACATAGAATGGTAATCTTACATATTTAAATAATATGTGACATAAATAATATGTGGGTAGGCACAGTAATTTTTCTTAAAAAGTAAATATTTCTATATGATTCAACATTACATTTTTTTTTTTTTTGACAGGCAGAGTGGACAGTGAGAGAGAGAGACAGAGAGAAAGGTCTTCCTTTGCTGTTGGCTTACCCTCCAATGGCTGCCACGGCCAGCGCACCGCGCTGATCCAAAGGCAGGAGTCAGGTGCTTCTCCTGGTCTCCCATGTGGGTGCAGGGCCCAAGCACTTGGGCCATCCTCCACTGCACTCCCGGGTTAGAGAAGAGAGCTGGCCTGGAAGAGGGGCAACTGGGATGGAATCCAGCGCCCCGACCGGGACTAGAACCCGGTGTGCTGGTGCCGTAAGGCAGAGGATTAGCCTATTGAGCCGCGGCGCTGGCTTCAACATTACATTTTAACCTGGTAGAAACATTCCAGCCTTTGGGTAATACTTTATTGCAGGCTTCATCAGAAATAAAATATGGCCACATCTGTGCATGCACACAGGCCTACATACTGATCCTGATCCCTACATACACACACTGTCCACAAAGCAAAGAATAATTAGCTACAAATGAGCCAGGGAAAATATAATTTTAAACCATGGTTGTTATTTTTCTTGATACTAGACTTTCACTATTTGCAATTGTTTTTCTGAGTGGGAGGAAAATGAACTATTATTACTTACTTTTACTTAACATAAGCTAGAAGTTGCTACCCTAGCAAGTCCAAACCTTAGCCTGTCTAGACCTGGAAGGTTTGAATACACCAAGTGGGCAGCCAACGCTGCAGACGTTATGAGAAACAGAAGAAAAGAAAACCCTTGTGGTATTTCTCTTGGAACCACACGAAAACGAAAGCAGCACATACATTCAGTACCAAAATGTACTATTGGCACGAAAGGCCTGGCTAAGAGGTACAAAAATACATTAAACATCAAATGGAATCTTGACCCAAAGCAAAATAGGGAATGATGTTACCACTAAGAACCCCGTGTTTACCTAGAAGGAAATGTGCAAGGCAGTCAAATACTGAGCCTTGGTTTCGTTGGCCGCACCTCCAGCGCTATCGCCGAGGCCATTTTACTGCAGCTGGGAACGTGAAGCCACCTGCACACCGACAGGAGCGCAGCCCACCGCCCGTCAGGGTGGTGAGGCTTTGTACTGAGATGCCGTTCTGATGTTTGATTGTCTTGGCAAAGGAAGCACATGCTTTTGGGTTGAGCGGACGGGACCTCTGAACAAATCCTGACCCGTGGTATGCTGGAAAAGACTTTGAAGTCAGACATGCCTCGAAGCCAGTGACTGCAAACCGCTGAAATCTTAATTCTCTATCATGTTGCTGAGGGATGTATTTGGTCAGCCACAGCTATTGGGCTGCTTCCGAGGGTGAGAGGAGGTGATGGGGGAGCTACAGTCCAAGTGGAGACCCTGGAGGAAGGAGCTCAGAATGACTGTAGCTGTAACACTAGGCATAATGGTGTGAGAGACAGACAGCCACAGGGATGGCAACGGCACAAGGCAGAACCAGCCCTGCGAGAAGGCAGCAGAAGCAGTGAACCAAAAGGAGAAAAACAGCGAGTGACAGTAGGAAGAAGATGGAAAAAAAGTGGAAGCAGGTCTTGAGTTTATATTACGGCTACTATGAAACAATTTTTAAAACACATTTCTGAGAATGCAGACAGATAAAGCAATGTGGAAAAACAGCGGAGTAGACTTTCAATTAGTCCAGGGGGGACCTTTGGCCAGGCATCGTTGCTGATGTTGGCATCCTCAAACGGGACATGGAGTCACTCACTGCTTGACGGTGCTTGGTTGAACTGGGGTAGACCAGCTCAATCAACAATGTCTGACAGTCTAAAGATGATGCCATCGAGAAAGCTCAGATGTGGCACGTGCGGCACCCCATAAATCTCTCGTCATAGAATTATGACTCTTGAAATGGCCCACAAGTCCATAAAGCGCAGCAGCCTGGGACCATTGAGGATATAATCAAATAAGACGACAAATAATACAAAAGCCAGGACCATATGACAGGCACATATAGGAGCTAACATGCTTAATGGGTGCTTTGGGTTGCTAAAAGGTTACATTAACAAAATGTATTGTTAAGTATCATCTGATCACAATGTGAGACACAAACTAATTTCTGTGGAATTTCCTATCAAGTTCTCAAAACAACAGCAAAAAGAACTTAGTGCTCAAGTGAGCTGAGTTGAACTCCAAGGGTCCTGTGGTTAGCTTCAATTAACAATAACTGCACAAGTACAGCAGCATCAAAACCAAATGCAAGCTGGGGCCAGTGATTCAGGCTTACGGTTATGAGTGGTCTCTTGGGCCTTAATTACAGACATATGATGCTCAGACCTCTCTTTAAACTGGGTCTCTTCTTTCACCCATCTGATAACAAGAGTGTCCTTACACCCTATCAAAATGGTGACACTCTGTAGGCCATGAATTAGATATAAGCTATTGGCTCTGATCATAAATGCATATATATCCCCAAATTTATTTACTTCGCCAAGTCTTTGAGAAGGCTGGTGCACTTCAGGTGAAGATTTTAAGTTCCTTGATATGTTCTAATTCATCTCTGTAGCTCTAGGGTGTTGACATTGCCTGGTACCCACCGGAAGTTTGATAAATGCTTAGGCAATGAGTTTGATAGAGGACCAGGTTGCCAATCTGAATCCCATTATCGGGATGGAGGCTGGCCTGCCTGCTTCCTAGCCCCTGCACCCAACCCAACTGCCCCCAGAGCCTCCTCGGGGTCCCTGCCTCTTTTGTTCAGTACCAGGTCCTCATGGGCTGCTGGTAGCTACAGCTGAGCTGTTTATGTTGGACTTGAAGGATCTTCCCTCTTCACTACCAAGTACAACTTAAAAGTAGGAAAAGGTCATTTAACAGTTCATTCTCAGCAGAAGCCTAGATGAGCGGCTTCACAATCCTAAGCGGAATGAGCTACAGTTATCTGCTGCTTAGGTACAATCACACATAGTTCCTCTTCCGTCCCATGAGGCTGTGCACATCAGAAAGCCAAGGAAGGACTCCTGTTTTCAGAACACGCCTTTAGCAGGACAAGCCAAAGCAGCGTTGGCAAACGGGTCTGGAAGCTCCATGTCGTGATCAGCAGGATTGCAATGTGCGTTGATGCTCCTCAGGCAGATTCAAGAACATCTATGTGAGTAACTAATAGAAAAGGTCTAGCATGAATGAAAAACTTGAGTCTTGAGATCTTGGTTCTTTATGACATTGACTAAACTTCACAAATAACTTCTTCATTATAGTTTATTCAAAATGGCAGGCTTTGTTTTCCCCCAGTTTGGATGGAAGCAAAATCCACAGTATCATTTGCAAAGAAGGAACAGGCTTGCACAAGCTAGAGTGCATCTCATTCTCATTTATTTAAGTTGAGTGAGATCCATATTTATTAAGACGAATCGGCATTTTCTTTGCTCAGAGAATTAAGTGGACATTAAGAAGGACATGTTCCACCTTATATCTGAAGACTTTATTTTCCCTTTAAGAGTGTCTATAAACTTTGTCTGATAGAAATTCTATAGAAATGCAAATACAGATCCTTGTTTAAGTGACTTAGATATATTCTCCACATTTGAATTAAATTCTAGTCATCTTTTCAACTACTATAGAAATTTATTTTTATACTATTTCAGTCACGACACACTTTCATTTCTTACTTGAAGGATGGTTAAAACCCACTGAGCCTGTTGGAAAAATGAATTAATTAGCATTAACTTTAAAGCTGAGATTATTCCTAATGTGGGTAAATGAACGATTGTGGTAAAAAGTGATTTCTTATCCTGAACCTCAAAGGGTCATGACCACGCAGCCCAACACTCTCGGTGTCTGGATGCAGAAAGCCAGAGAGAGTCAGTATCTCGCCAGTGATCCAACAGCCAGGGCTGGTTCCTCAGAATCCAGCATTCCCACCTCCCACCAGGTCACCTTTTCAATTCACCAGACAACACTGCCAGCATTTTCTAATACAATATCCGAGAGTGCGAAGATGACAACGTCTGGATCACAGATTCGTTTCCCATGGGTATCGGCCACCGGCTGACTCCTATCCCCAGCTGGGCAAAGTGTCTCACGGAAGAGTGCGTGTCCCCTTAGAGTGTGTGCCAGCTCCCCACCATCAGAACAGCAGGAACTACTTCACCTTGGGATTTGGGTGCCGGCCGATGACAAGGCGAACGGGTCCTGGGGGGCACTTGCTCAAGATGGAGTGGACTTTGCTTAAAGCAGCGTGGCGCACGTTGACGGAGTTAACTTCCAGGATCTGATCGCCGCGGCTGGGGAAGGTGGGAAGGCAACACAGTCAACGTTCTGAGTTAACAGTTTGCTTGAGAGAGGAAGAGAGAAAGATGGGCGGGGTAGGGGGGCAGGGAGAGACTTTCCACGTGCTGGCTCACTCCCCAAACAACTGTAACAGCTAGGGCTGGGCCAGGCCAAGGTCAGGAGCCCAGCTATCCATCTGGATCTCCCACAGGGGTGGCGGGGACCCAAATGCTTGGGCCATCCTCTGTGACTCCCAGGATAACATGGGATAGGAAGTGGGGTAGCTGGGACTCGAAACAGCACTCTAATTTGGGATGTGGGCATGCCAAGCAGTGGCTTAACCTGCTATGCCACAATGCCCACCCCACAGTTAGCTTTTTACAAGCTACAAAATGCTTGCTTTCTAGGAAAGATTTGTAATATGTGATATCTTTTCTGAATACTTTAAAGAGGTAAATGATCTCCTTTCATCTTTGCACACAGGTAAAAAATGAATACATTCATGTGAACACATCAGATTTTACACTGCCAAAAGTGATCATGCATATTAGCTATAGTAAGTAGTAAAGTAAAATAAAACTGAGAATAAAGACAACAATGAGGGCTACCATTTCTTGAGCACACACGGTAGGCCAGGCGCACTACCAAGCAATCTATGGAGTGCTTTTAATAGATCAAAGTAGACAGGGCCACCGGCACAGAGTGGTCACTGTGGTGTCCCACGATGTTGCACTAGCTCAGGTGTGTCCGATTCTTCACCATCACAGGACAGCCCCTCCGACCAGCATCATTTTTCTTTCCTTCCTACCATCTTGAAGTGATTCTTGTAATGTAATTTAGGGAGGAAATATCTGAAGCCCAAAGGTTACTCAAGAATTTGTAAAAACATTTCAAATTTGAGCAAATGAGAAATTAGGGACAAGTTGCCCATACTGAGTTGAAATTCTAGGGAGAGAACTCGGCAGGAGAGAACAAAGACTCTTTATATGGGGTTTGAAGAATGTTCATTTGGCAGGCTCCAGACATATGGAACCATTCAAGAAAGAAACATCATCTTGGGATGTCATTAAAGGATTTTTTCCCTGGAGTTCTAAAAGTATATTTTCTTTAATGTACTTTGGATGCTCTGCTAGCATTCTTTTTTTCAAATGGAAATTTATTCTGATGATTAACTAAAAACATTAATATAATCTATTCACAGGGCCCAAAAATGGCAATCTCAACAAACAGCATTTTGACAATTCCCTAACTGCTGAAAAACCTGGGAGCTTAAAGAGAAGACAGACGACAGTGTTTGCACAGAGCGCTCTGGGCAATACGTGCGCATTCCTGTGACGTTTAGGGGGACACCAGCTCACTTCTGTGACTATCTAAGAGAAGAGCTAGACGTGTCTTGTATAAACAGAATATCCACGCTCTGACACAGCTCTCCGGGTTAAGCAATCAGACTTGGCGATTTCAGACCTTAGGCTCCTAGATGCCACTACTCAAACAGGGTGAACGCAATGGAAGGCCTGAGAAAGACCGCTTCCTAAGAATGGCCTCCCACGAAAGGTCATGATTCCAGGACTCTTTTGCATCCCTGAGTTTTGAGCCATTACGAGCAGTTCCAGAATCTCAGTGTGAATTTTGCAGAGACGATACAAGTGGAAGAAAATATTGAGACAATCAGGTATCTACACAGAGTTGTATTTTGAAACTGAACTTGAGAGTTCACACAGTCCAAAGCAAAGAAGCCAAGATCCAGGGTTCTCTGATTCAACCTGATTTCACCTCTCACAGCTTTGCATTTTTGGAGAAGCTATTCATAGTAACCCTAGCTATGTTACTGGAAATACAAGATTCAGCGTCCTTCTGAGGAACGCAAGAGTGCAGCTACCCGTGTGTGTCCTCACATCCTCGTAACACGTCGGAACCTGCCCTGTCCGGGCTACAACAAACCTCAGGTTGCTCTCCATCTTGGCCACGGATCCAGGTGCCAGGCTGTGGATGTAGATGCCTGGAGGGCTGTTTTCTAGAGCCAGGCAGCAGGCACCAATGCCGAGTCCAACTCGTGGCTCTGTGGGAGGCAGCGTTTAAAGAAAGCAAAACCAACGATTACACAGTCGCCAGAAAAACAGCGGAGTAACAGATCTCAAAGGGCATCGACCTCTATTCAGACCAAGGGCCATTCACTGTTGGACCACATCAGAACGTAAACCCCTGCTTTTCTCTGTCAGCCCTGCTAGATTCTGTTAAAGAAATGAGTGCCCGGGTGAACGCTGGGGTAACTTCGGGTGGTGAGCGACTCCACGGGCCACTCCTGGCTCAGTCAGATAAGCCTCCTGAAATAACTCTAGGAGTAAGCAGAGCAGCAGGGTGCAGGCAGGCACTATTTGTATCTTGGATATCCAGCTTTTTAGGTTTTTTTTTTTTTTTTTTTTTGCCTTTCCTTGTAGTGACTAATATCTTGGTTATCTGTTACTTACTTGTTCATCATATTTCTACAGTCAGTAGGGAGAGCAAGGGCACGAAGATGTAAAGTAGTAAGATTCGGCGCTCACCCACTGGTGCTGGTAATGACGTCTTTAACGCGCGTCTCTGCCACACAGTGGTTCCTCTAGCAAGAGCATGGAGAGCTCTGCACATTGGTAACTTCCCTTCATTTGTGTCAAAAAGTGACCAAAGATCTCTACTTTCAAGCCCATTGTCCATTTAGGGAACACCACCGCTGTCATGGCTAGCACATGGTTCCCAAGGGACACTTCACAGAAAAGTTAGGAAAAGGAAAATCCCCCCAAGAACAGATGCCACACTGCTATTCAAGAGAATGCAGAGGAAGCGAGGAGCCGCGGGTATCACCTTTGTTGAGGGTCACTTCCATGACGATCCTGTCCTTGGGTCCAGGGGCCTTCCGGCCCAGGGACAAAGAACCGCCTTCCTCGGGACCTCCCACCACCGTCACTGGGCTGGTGTTGAAGTTGGGGGAGCTGGATCTGCTCATGTGTGTGGGCGTTGAGCAGGGCGTGAGGCTGGGGCTCAGTAACTTTGTGCGCACCGTTAAGACGAATAGTCCACTCCGGATTTGCTGAGGATACAAGAAGGCAGGTGGCTATGATCTTCAGACTGTCCCTATCTCCAGGGTGAAAGAGTTCCCACCGAACCCACACCAGAAGGAAATAGAGAGAGAAGACCCAGAGGATAAAAGAGATCGATAAGAATGTTGTTACCTTGAAGGTATGAATGGCTTCTTGGAACGTCAAGCCCTTGATCGGTATTCCATTTACATCTAGGATTTCATCCCCTAGCAAGCAAATATGAGAATTACATTAAGTTTTAATTTACTGGAATCTCACTGCTCAGACAGGCCCAGAATGGGATACCATATGGTCCCTGATTCACCACCTTATCAAATGACTTTTATTGTTCTAATCCACTTTCTTCAGCCCAGCTCTCAGGCATGGCACAAAATGGGACAATTATCGATGACACATTCGTTTGCAATAATTCTGCACTTTAATCTTCCAGGAACACGACCATGGGAAGCATCCAGATCTCATTCTTTGGCCATTTCCAAGTTTGACAACAGATGTTCTACGTAGAGATAAAACTGCACAAACTGAGTTCCAAGGCTCCCTTCCTAGTGTTTTAAAAAAAACTTTACCCTACTGGCAACGAAGCAGGAACACACATATCACATTTGAGAAACCACTCCCATATCCTCAGAAAGACAAGCCCCAGAGCCCCGTGAACCATCACACTGCATGGAAGATGGTTTTAATGGTAGACATACAACACTTGCTGAGATAGTATTAAGAGATGGTGGTGGGGCTGGTGCTGTGGCGTGGCGAGTAAAACCACCGCCTGCAGTGCCGGCATCCCATATGGATGCCGGTTCGAGTCCTGGCTGTTCCACTTCCGATCTAGCTCTCTGCTCTGGCCTGGGAAAGCAGTGGAAGATGGCCCAAGTCCTTGGGCCCCTGCACCCAACTGGGAGACCCGGTGAAAGCGCCTGGCTCCTGGCCTTGGAGCGCAGTTCTGGCCATTGTGGCCAGTTGGGGAGTGAACCAATGGATGGAAGACCTCTCTCTCTCTGCCTCTCCTTCTCTCCCTGTGAAACTCTTTCAAATAAAAAAAAAATTTTTTAAAGAGATGGTGGCTCTAGCTCTAGCAAGTATCTAGATGTCTTCTCTTATTAATATGGCCCCAGATTCTCCACCATGAAGCTGGCAAGTTACTATCTCAAACTACGAGGTGTGTGCATGCACACACACTTCCTCCAGCCCTTCCCTGGCTACCCCATCAGCCTCAGCCCCAAGAAGGCAGAGTCAGGTCATTTCCCAAGCTGCTGATGGTGTCTTCTGGGAATGCAAAAGGGCTCAGGTACCCTGGTGGAGCATCATGGTCCATTTCTGGTTTGCACACTGGTGACATGGGCTGCTTTTTGGAATAACAGTTCTTCAGGAACACTACAAAGATGCCCCAGGGAGAAGAGCCGATGAACACTGCCCAGCAGTGCAGTACAGGATGCTTTGGTGCACTTGTAGCCAAGGGCAGAGCCGCGCATTTGCACCTCACACAGTCAGCCCCTCCAGCACCTTGTGTATGTGCTTAAAGGAATCCTCTTACATGAGTTACAAAAATGTAGCAATGGCCCATATATTTTTTTAAAGATTTATTTATTTACTTGAAGGGCAGAAGGACAGAGAGGGAGGGGCACAGGGGGTTGTGGAGGGGAGGAGGAGTAGGGAGAGGGAGATCTTATATCTGTTGGTTCACTCTCCAAATGGCTGCAATGGCCAGGCCTAGGCCAGGTCAAAGCCAAGAGCTGGGAGCTCTGTCCAGGTCTTGCACATGGGTGGCAGGGGCCCAAGTACCTGGGCCATCATCTGCTGCTTTCCCAGGTGCATTAGTGGGGCACTGGATTGGGAGTGGAGCAGCCAGGACTTGAGCTGGTGCCCTGATAGGCAAGACTTGTGCTCCAAGTAACGGCTTAATCCACTGGGCCACAACGTTGGCCATCCCCTGGCCCCACACGCTTGCTATACTTCCTCTCTTTAATGCAACTGCAGAAGTTATAAAGTAAGTGGGAAAAAAAAGGTCTCTGTTTAAAATCATCTGGCATAACCAATTACTCAATTAGACAAGAAAGTTTATGTTTTTGGGCTGTTTTCACGTGGGAAAAGGAGAAAAACATTAAAATGATTGCTCATACTCTTAAAATTTATACAGGATTTTTAAAAGGCGTATCACTCAACAGGTTGAAAATCCATTCCAGTGCCTTTCATTTCTTGTAAATGAGCACACATGAGAAAACAGTATTTAGGAGAATCAAATGTTATTAACCTTTCCTTACTATTGATTTTTCCCCTCCATTCTGCTCCATTCTACCAGCCTTGCAGGATGAATTTCAATCAGGTGAACACATGGCACATTCATTATAAGAAAGCTCTGCTAGAATTTTATGTTGTTCTGAAACTAGACACAAACTCCACCTGGGAGTTAACCCTTCCTCTAAGAGACGTACATCCCCTGCTATGGAAGTAGGAAGGCTGGCCACATCCTAGCATCAGCGTGCAGGCCTCTCTGCTGTGCCCCACAGTCCTGAGAGAGACACTCCAATTCACTCTCATCAGTCAGAGCAGAAAAGGGTGGCATAACAACAGCATCGAGAGTTGGGGTCAACTGTTCCAAACAGTCACAGCATTTTTGAAGGTAACGAGGAAATTCTGATTTAGTCACATCACGTAATTTTGCTGTCGAAAAGGAGATAGCCTTAATCAGGTAGCTGTTGCAATGCAAATATACAGATGTGCACATACATACTTAACAAAATCCTCTCCTTATTAAAAGGAGCTACTGTGTCTGCACCTCCCTTGGCCTACCCAAATCTTTTTTTCCAAGTATCCTGACAGGTTCAAGAAGGAAGACCGAGTGGTGAGCTCGACCTCTTGTACTTAAATAGGGTAGTGAGTGAGATGGGGACACAACTGAACAGGGATCAGAAGAGTGGGCTGAAGTCTCACTGCTACTCTTTACTGAGGATGGGACAAGTGTATAGTCACCTAATATCCGACTGTCAGATTTTTTATTTGTGAGATATAACTTGGCACCTCAGCATGATTATTAAAATTTACATTCATTTAATATTTTATTTATCTGAAAGAAAAAGGAAGAGGAAAGGGGAGGAGGAGGACACGAGCAGTGGCAGCAGCAGTGGGATCTCCCATCTGCTGCTTTAGTGCTTGAATGCCTGCGATGGTGGAGCTGGAACAGCCTGAAGGCAGGAGCCAAGAACTTAATTCAGGTCTCCCACGTGGATGGTAGGGCCTGAAATACTTGCGCCATCAACTGCTGCTTCCTAGGGTGCAAAGAAGGAAGCTAGAATTGGGGGCAGTGCTGGGACCCAGACCCAGTCACTCTAAGGCATGCACATCCCAAGCAGCATCTTAACCACTGCCTACCCCTCAATATTATTGTTATTCTTTTAAAAATTCATTTATTTATTTGAAATGCAGAGAGTTACACAGATGCAGAGAGGCCTTCCATCTGCTGGTTCACTCCCCAGATGGCTGCAATGTCTGGAGCCGGATCGGAAGCAGAGCACCGGGACTCGAACCGGCGCCCATATGGGATGCTGTCACTGCAGGCACCGGCTCCACCCACTACACCAGTGCACCAGCCCCTCAATATTATTTTAATTTGCACTCAGGAGCACTTGTCTAGTATATTTACATGTGGCAAAATGGTAGGTCCTATGGAGAACACAAAATCTATTGATTGGGGTCCAGTGTGGTGGCACAGTGGGTTAAGCCACCTGCTGTGACGCCAGCATCCCATATAGGGACTGGTGCTAGTCCTGGCTGCTCTACTTCTGATCCAGCTCTCTGCTAATGCACCTGGGAAGTCAGCGGGAGATAGCTCAAGTACCTGGATCCCTGCCACCCTTGTGGGAGACCTGGCTGGAGTTCCAGCCTCCTTGCTTTGGCTTGGCCTAGCCCTGGCTGATACAGCCACTTGAGGACTGAGCCAACAGATGGGAGATATTTACTCTCTCATTATCCCCCCCTCCCCCTCTCTCTTTCTCTGTGTCTTTCTCTAACTCTGCCTTTCAAATAAATAAATAAATCTTAAAAGAACAAAAACAAAAACCCATTCATGGAGCCAGTGCTGTGGCATAGCGGATAAAGATGCTGCCTGAAGTGTTGGCATTCGATATGGGTGCCAGTTCAAGTTGTAGTTGCTCCACTTCCGATCCAGCTCTCTGCTAGGGACTGGGAAAGCAATGGAAGATGGCCCAAGGTCTTGGGCCCCTGCACCTGTGGGAGACCTGGGAGAAAATCCTGGATCCTGGCTTCGGATTGGCCCAGCTCTGGAAAATGAGGTCATTTGGGGAGTGAGCCAATGGATGGAAGACCTGTTTCTCTCTCTGTCTCTCTCTGCCTCTCTGTAACTCTCCCTTTCAAATAAATAAATCTTTGGGGGAAAAAAACCTTCATTCATTAGGAACCAAACTCTGTGGTGGTAGATTTCAACAGCAAGATATTCACTCTACTTCATGCCAGTCCAGAGGCAAGAATGGACTAAAAACTCTTAGGAATTTTCAAGGCAAGGAATGTGATCCAGGACCATGCAGCCAAATAGTCACTTAAAGACCTCAATAAAAGTTGTCAACTTATTTGCACATATGAACTTATTTAATCCTTACAACAACCCTTCAAGCTAGGCATTAACATTTCAAGTTTGCAACCCAGGAAAGTGAAGCTCAGGTTATATTAGTTGTCCAAGGTCATGATATCTAAGTGTTAGAGTCAACCCAGGTCTACAGGATTCCCAAGTCTGTGGCTTTACAGGCTGTGCCACTCCACATCTTGTGAGGGGGCAACTTCACATGGACCCAGAGCTCACTATCACTGAGGATCCCAGGAAGGTTCTCCTACCTTCTTTAAGTCTTCCATCCTCTGCAGCTGAGCCATTAGGGAAAATCGTCTTGACAAAAATCCCCATCTGTCCTCGAATGCAGTCCCGACCCCCGGCAATGCTAAAGCCAAGGCCCTACAACCAAAGCAGATGGGAGTCTTGGTTGATACTGAGTATTTAACTTCCTATTTCAGTTTTTAACTGAAGGCCTCCTTCCCCTCTTAGTATTTAGTGGAGACATCATTCTCAACCAGGCTTGGAAGCTGAAATTAAAGCTTGCATTCCATTCCCATTCTTCTCCCTATATCTACTTGTGCAGCACCAGCCATTCAGTACATCAAAGGGAGAAAGTTTGAGGTCAAAACACATGTAACTGATAATATTTGACAATCTCTGACCTTCAAAAGTGATGATTTCATATGGATCAACTGAATCAGTCATGAGTTATATACTAATCAGATGCCATATTTTTCTATTTTTGTGTATTTCCATTTTGTGTATCAAAGTGGATATTTTGATGTTTGTATAATATCACTTATTCTCTTTATGATAATGGTGAAGCTATGAAATTCATTCCAAAGGAGACTGGGAGTATTCTCCAAGGCTGCCGGCTCTGCTTTTCTTTCAGTAGAGGTAGAAGACGGCAATGGTTCACCTGGCCCTGGACGCTGCCCTGGACGCTGCCCTAGGACTCAGGTGGCAGTGACTCCTCCATCACAAGCTCTACAGGGATGCAGCCATCTCACACTCCAAGGTCCACAGGGGAGACCGCCAGGGGATCCACTTGAATTTATACAAAGGCCACTTAATTCACTGCTCTTTCTGTACTTTATGATGTCATGTAAAATCGAATAATGAAAGATAAAATACAAAGTATCCACTTAACTGAAGGCATTCTTCCTATTACAGTATTTAACTGAAGCATCCTTCTCATCACAGTATTTAACTGAAGGCCTCCTTCCCCTCTGAGTATTTAATGGAGACGTCATTCTCAACCAGGCTAAGGGGTAAGCTGACCAACCAGCTGTAAATTAAAGCTTGCATTCCCGCCTCCTTTTCCTTCTTAGATCTATTTGTTGCACTTAGCCATTCGGTACCTTCACTACACTGAAGAATATATGCTGACCAGCACCTGGAAGATTAAAAAGTCCACACAAAGAGCCCACCTTGCCTTTTTCTTTGTACAGCCCAATGATGGAGATCACGGATGGCCGAATGAGCCGCCAAGGCGATTCCACCTGAGTGGTGCTTAGGGAGCGAGTCGACTTCTTCACGATGTGGTACTCCTGCAAGTCAGCACACAGCCCCGTCAGAGGTGGCCTCATTTATGCTCTGCATGAAGTGCACTCGACTTTCCAAGTGTCACCCAGCCACGTCCTACTGGTCCATCTGGTCCACTGGCTTAAAGAAAGCCCATTAGAAACAGCACTGGGAGAGTAGCCCCGACATAACCCTCGCCATGCCTTCTTCCTCCACATGCACAGCTGCCTGGGGGCCACAAGCACTGGTGTTGTTTCCTCCAGACTCTACCTCTGGAATGGAGTCAGGAGCCAGAAACCAGGAGGCCTCAGAGAGGCAGGGCGGCCCCCTGGAGTCAGGCTCTCCCTTGGAAGTTACCTCCACTCCCACGCTCCAGCTCACCATCACGGTTAGAAAGTATCTCACCGTTTCAAGCTTAACTTACTCATTCAAAAGTGGAGCAAGACCTTGTCTCTTCCAAAACTCAAGCCACAAACCCACGCAACGCTTATTCCACATAAAGCATCCTACTAAGCGATGGCAGCAGCATCAGTAGAATCCCTCACATTTGGGAAATAAAACACTTCCCATAAGCCACACTGTTCTTCCTGGCACAGGGCGACTCAAGTCTCCAGCCCCCTTTCTTGTTCATCACCCACAACATACTCGTGTGAAAGAAGGGTGTGCTATTTATAAGAAAAATAAGAACCTCTACATTCTAGCTCCTTGCTATGCTTCTTAGAATAATAGATTTCTTAAATTATGTCTCTATTCTAGCATAAATCAAAAAATCACTTTGTGTTTAATATGAGAAAGGAGACATCACAAAATAGCTTAAATCCTTAATTTGCGTGTACGACCTTCAGATGCAGAAATGAGAAGCCCTCAGTGATATCTTAATCCTCCTGGCAGCTTAGAACAATTCTACTTTGCAGTTTCACAAAGTATCTGCCAGCAATGTTAGCCTCCCAGACTCTGCCTCATTAAATAAACGATGTGGGCTTGGCAAAGTTACTACTCTTTTCCTGAAACCAGCACAGAGATGGCCAGACAAAACCTGAGGTTTTCTACCCTCAGACATCGAGGTGTGTGCGTGAGCTCACAAAGGAACATGTTCTCTTTCCCCAACCTTGCCCCTTTGGGAACTGGTAGGAACCAATGGCCTGCAGGCTCCACTGATCTCCCTAGGGGTCTCTGTCCTCCCCACTCCCCCCATTTCTAGACCTGAGCTGTCTAATATGGTAGCCGCTTGCATTAAAATAAAACATGCACTTGGCATTCTCAGTAGCCACTTCCCAGTGCTCACAGACACCAGCTCTTTGGCTGCGAAGGCAGTACATTTTCTCTGATCTTGCTCTCCAGTTAAAACACAACCTCACTCTCCTGCAACTCCCTGGTCCCCCGTGACTCTGTGGGTCCCCACCTGGAGCAGGCCACGGTCCTGCCTGTCTCCGGCCATGGGTGGGTTTGGACACACCTCCACAGGCTCTGTGCAGTTTTGTTTTTCTGCTTCTCCTCAGCGCCCCACTGCCTTTGAGCTGCTTTTGGGTGAATTCAATACTAAACAGCCTGATAAGTCACTGTGTCCGAAATAGGAACACTTCTTGTTTTCCTGGGATGGTCAGAAGCTTTATTCTGAAGCATAACTGACTGTTCTTTGAAGAGATTCTGGCAAACCGCCTTGAGCAAAATAGGCAATCTCTTTGAGATTCAGGTGCCCCCCTGTACAATGCTCACAATACACGAAAAGTAGGGGCTTGGCCCAGACGGCCTGACCAGAACCCTGAAGGATGCTACCACCTGCAAGTCCCAAGGCACTCACGTGCGGTATTGTTGCCATACCTGCCTCCTCCATCTCCACTCCATGGCAGACCTAAGAACGTGGTGCCCCTGGTTCCTCTCAGGCCCACACGTTCCACAGAGATGCAGCCTGCCTCCAACTTGGCTAGCAGACCAGTTCCTATGGGGGCCAGGTAACATGACTGAGCAGCTGCCCTACGTGGGGTTATGTGGAGCCCAGCACTCTGATGGGAACAGGATCTGGAATATGGAGCTACTGACCTAACCACCTGCCATCTACAGCCCTCTACGATCGCGGCTGGTTAAGTCAAGGGACAGGAAGGACCCAGGCATGGCGTCGGTGTGCGCATGCTCACACAGCCTCCTCACTCACACACACTTACCCACACCACCCACACGGTCGGGACGCTGACACACGATGCGCCCGTGCAACTGGCGGCGGTGTTCACCACAGACCGGGAGACGCCATTGTCTCCTGGCAGTTGAAAGCAACTCTCGGTTCCAAAACACACAGAATGGAGGGGGATCAAGAGGAGTAGGTCCAATGAGGGATTGGATTTCCCCTGTAATTTTCATCTATTAGCCTGACCTCCTCTAGACTCTCTGGGTAGACCTCATGCTGTGTACTGTCTTTGCCTTCTCTCTCTCTCTCGCCTCAAATACTCCTGGCCCATACAGAACTGCGGTTCTTCTTAACATGGAAGGCCTTGCTGGTCTTTGAAAGGACAAAAAAATCCTGGCAGCCTAGGGTCTGGAAACATGCTCCCCTGCCCCTCACCAAGCGAGTGTGCCCATGGCAGCAAGAAAGCAGCCTCTGGGCCAGGACCGACCTGTGATGCCCCAGAAGAGTCCAGCAGCTGGGGGAGGGAGTGCTTCCGGCCATCTCGGGAGACCTCCAGCATCCTGGCCCGGGGGTCCCCATTCCGCACCATCAGCTCATTATATTCCTCCACGGACTCTAGGCGGTGTACACCCCCTGGAACAGAGAAGGGGAAAAACCTGGCTTGATGCAGAAGTAGCATCAAGGGAGCACCCAATAGCATAAACTTGTCGCATTGACGCCCACACACATGGTTTTCAGAGGGCTTGGTGTCCCACACACCCAAAGCAGGAGCTCACCACACCCCACCACTGAGCTCGGCGTAGGCTTACGTGTCGAGGCTGCTGCTGTGTCAGGCTGTGAGGAAACTGTCTTTGCAGTGACCATCATGGCTAAGGAGCGCTGTGCATGTCTGATCCACTAAGGCGGAGCCATGGCAGATGGGACATAACCACAGCCAGAGCCTTTCAGTAGACGTCCCCTAGTGATGGCAGAGTCACCTTGTGGCTGTGCAGTTCCATGGAGGACTTTGTAAATAAACTTTATAGTAAAATACAGCAGAGAGGCACACAAATCCTAGGTATGTAGTTCAGTGAGATTTCACGAAGTGCACTTACCAAAAACCAGCATGCCGATTAAGAAACAGAACAGGAACCAGAACCTCAAAAGCTCCCTTTGTGCCCCCAGCTGCTCCTTGCCCAAGGGTAACCATGATCTCGACTTTCAGCATAGTGGGTTACTGCGGCCTGTTCTTGAACTTTATGTAAATAAACACACACAATCTGTACTCTTTTTGTATCTCATTCTTGGCATTTGTTTGTGAATTCAATCACGTAGTCTGTATGTCAACAGTTCATGCGTTCCCGTTCTGTATAACATTTCACCGAGCAAAGGCCCTCAATGCATTTATCCATTCTGTCGTTGATGGACATTTGGCTCGCTTCCAGCTGTGGATCTGGAATAAGGGGCAGCCAACTTTCTGTTCTGTAAAGTCCAGGTAGTACATTTCTCAGCCTGTGGGGCTCCAAATACATATTCGTTCTCTCTGTGATGCACTAACCGTGTAGGAAGCGTTTCTAGGTTGAGTCATACACACACAGCTGCAGGATGCAGGTTGCTAACCCTGGACCAGAAGGTACTGTTACTGAATGTTCCTGCATACATCATTTCTGCAGAAGGCCATCTCAGAGTGGAGGTTCTGGGCTGCAGTGGGCACCTGCACGCATGCATTCCGGCTTTTCCCCATCCCGGTCACACGTGGAAGGGTCCATCTTTTATTGTAGCTATTCTGGTAGACACACAATGGCATCTCAGTATGGTTTTCTTTAAGATTTATTTACTTATTTGAAAGAGTTACACAGAGAGAGGAGAGGCAGAGAGAGAGAGAGAGAGAGAGGGAGAGAGAGGGAGAGGGAGGGAGGTCTTCCATCTGATGGTTCACTCCCCAATTGGCCGCGACAGCCAGAGCTGTGCTGATCCGAAGCCAGGAGCCAGGATCCAGGAGCTTCTTCCGGGTCTCCCATGCGGATGCAGGAGCCCAAGGACTTGGGCCATCTTCCACTGCTTTCCCAGGCCACAGCAGAGAGCTGGATCAGAAGTGGAGCAGCTGGGTCTGGAACCAGAGCCCATATGGGATGCCAGTGCTTCAGGCCAGGGCGTTAACTCACTGCACCACAGTGCTGGCCCTCTCAGCGTGGTTTTCAACTTGCATTTCACTGATGATGAATGAGATTAGGCTTTCATTTTGAAAATTGTTTTAAACTTATGTATTTGAGGGGCAGAGATGGACAAAGCTCCCACCTGCTATTTCAATTCCCAAATGCCTGCAATGGCCAGGTCTGGTGTGAAGCTAGGAGATGCGAACCTACATGAGTTCTCCCACACGAGTGACATGGACCCATCTACTTGACCCATCACCTGCTGCATACTAGGGTGAGCATTAGTAGGAAGCTGGATTTGGAAGCAGAGCCAGGACTCAAGTCCAGGTACTTCTGCATGGGACCCAGGCATCTTAGCCACTATGCCAAATGTCCAGACCTGAGATCTAGCTTCTTTTCATATTTTCATCGGCTGGCTGAGAAGCCATGGCTATTTTCCTTCCCTACAGTTAAGTGCCTTTTCAATTTCCTGCCCATTCTTTGATTGGAATTCTCTTTTCCTTATTGGTTTATTGGGGGTTTTGTTTATTTTTAGTAAATCTCAGGTGTAAGTTTTTGTGAGCTCCACGGAAACATGTTTTCCATGTCTGTGCTTTCCTTTTTGCTGTCTTGAGATTTCTTGATGAGGGGTTGGTGCTGTGGCGTAGCAGGTAAAGCCATGGCCTGCAGTGCCAGCATCCCATATGGGTGCCAGTTCAAGTCCCAGCTGCTCCACTTCAGACCCAGCTCTCTGCTGTGGCCCGAGAAAGCAGTAAAAGATGGCCCAAGTGCTTGGGCCCCTGCACCTGCATGGGAGACCCAGAAGAAGCTCCTGGCTTCAGATCGGTGCAGCTGTGGCCATTGCGGCCACCTGGGGAGTGAACTAGCGGATGGAAGACTTCTCTCTCTCTGCCTCTTCTTCTCCCTCTATGTGACTCTTTCAAATAAGTAAATAAAATTTTAAAAAAAGATTTGAGGAGGGCCGGCGCCGTGGCTCAATAGGCTAATCCTCCACCTTGTGGCGCCGGCACACCGGGTTCTAGTCCCGGTTGGGGCGCCGGATTCTGTCCCGGCTGCCCCTCTTCCAGGCCAGCTCTCTGCTATGGCCAGGGAGTGCAGTGGAGGATGGCCCAGGTGCTTGGGCCCTGCACCCCATGGGAGACCAGGAAAAGCACCTGGATCCTGGCTCCTGCCATCGGATCAGCGCGGTGCGCCGGCTGCAGCGGCGGCCATTGGAGGGTGAACCAACGGCAAAAGGAAGACCTTTCTCTCTCTGTCTCTCTCTCTCACTGTCCACTCTGCCTGTCAAAAAAAAAGACAAAAAAAAAAAAAAGATTTGAGGAAAAAAGTTCATAATTTTAATGTCATAAAATATGTCATTTTTCCCCTTTATGGTTAATATTTCTGTTCCCTGGTTACAAAACTTTGAATTGATGCCTTTGAAAGGCTTTATCAATATCCAACCTACATATATTTCTTAAAGATTTTTTTTCTTTGAAAGTTAGAGAGAAGGCGAGGCAGAGAGAGAGACAGAGAGACAGACAGACAGACAGAGGTCTTCCATCTGCTGGTTTAGTCCCCAATTGGCCGCAACGGCCAGAGCTGCACCGATCCGAAGCCAGGAATCAGGAGCTTCCTCCTGATCTCCCACGTGGGTACAGGGGTCCAAGGACTTGGGCCATCTTCTACTGCTTTCCCGGGCCATAGCAGAGAGCTGGATTGGAAGTGGAGCAGCTGGGACTCGAACCGGCGCCCATATGGGATGCCAGCGCTGCAAGCAGTGGCTTTACCTGCTATGCCACAGCGCCAGCCCCTATCCAATCTATATTATATGTTACTTTAAAGTAAAATAATTTAAGGTACTTTAATCTCAAGCGATAGATCAATTACATGTGAATATAACTATATTCACATGATAATGTTTACTTACATACAATATATACGTACATGCATATGTGTGTGTGTGTATCTATGCACACACACACACAGATCCTTTGGAATATCAAGTTTTCCTAAACGATATAATATTTAACAGCCTAAAATTTCAATTCAGCTATCTAAAAATTTCTCTGAAAGCTTTTCATGGGACAAAACAGAGTAACTCCATAGTGCCTTCTTTTTTTTTTTTTTTTTTTGACAGGCAGAGTGGACAGTGAGAGAGAGAGAAAGAGAGAGAAAGGTTTTCCTTTTTGCCGTTGGTTCACCCTCCAATGGCCGCTGTGGCTGGCGCATCACGCTAATCCGAAGCCAGGAGCCAGGTGCTTTTCCTGGTCTCCCATGGGGTGCAGGACCCAAGCACTTGGGCCATCCTCCACTGCACTCCTGGGCCACAGCAGAGAGCTGGCCTGGAAGAAGGGCAACCGGGACAGAATCCGGCGCCCAGACCAGGATTAGAACCCTGGGTGCTGGCGCCACAGGTGGAGGATTAGCCTAGTGAGCCGTGGTGCTGGCCATATATTGATAAGTTTTTAGTGACAGAAAGTTAGGAAAATGCAAACTGTTATATAAGTATTATAACAGTATTATAAGGGCTTGGGTTTTCAAAAGTGAAGTATTAATTTTGTGCTGCAGGTTTTTAAACATCTGAAATTCCTCTGCAACCAAGGAAAACCACAAACCTAAGGTAGTCACAGATAAATCAACAGTACCAAAATGAAAAGGAAACTCTGTTGGCCAAAGAGGAGGGATGAGGCAGGGAACACTCGGGTTAGAACGTCAGAGAACATTCCAAGGAATGACAGATGCTGCTGCTTTGGTCATTTTGGAGCCAGACTGGACAACACCCTAGCGAAATGGCTGGGACCTCTCTACAGACACTCATTCATAATTCATGACTTCATAATTCATGAGCAGATTAATCTCTTTTGGCATGCTTGCTCATCTGAACAAGATTTATTAGAAGAAAATTCCCTTTGAGCTGACAGGGAGGCACTTGTCAGCAACAGGAGAGAAACCACGTATGGTAGTACTGATGGATAATACATCGCTATGTGAACACGAGGGGGACTAATGTTAAAGAGATAAGAAATAAACATCCATATTTACAGGAGACAATCATGTTAAAATCTCCTGTATGTAAACGTCTTTAGAGTGAACGAACACATTTCACAGCCTGGATCAAGGCCCACTTCCTTAAGCCTCTTTATCACGTCTCCAGATGGCTTTTCCGGTCTTATCTCCCACCATCCCACTCTGAATTTGCTGCGCTTGTTTGATGATTCTCAAAAGACAGGGTTTGTCTCTTGCCCCTCCTTTGCAAAACTGGGAAATATATAAACCTGAGGGTACTTCAAAAAGCCCACAGAAAATGGGATTAAAAGATAAGCTTATTTTGGTGCAAAAAAGTTTGAAATCCATGCATATGTATTATGACAAAACTATGCATGGACTTCAGACTTTTTTTCTTAAAAATGAATTTATTTACTTGAAAGGAAGAATGACAGACAGAAAGAGGGAGTGAGAGAGAAAGAGAGAGAGAGGTTTTCCATATGCCCGCTTATGCCCCAAATGGCCACAATGGATGGGGCTGGGCTTGGCTGAAGCCAAGAGCCAGGAGTTCCATCTGGGTCTCCCACATGGGTGGCAGAGGCCCAAGTCCTTGGACCATCCTCCGGTGCCTTCCCAGGTGCATTAGCAGGAAACTGGATCAGAAGCATTGTAGCAGGGACTAGCAGCAGCTTAACCTGCTGCACCACAATACCAGCCCCTCCGCTGACTCTTTGAAGTACCCTTGAACTATCTGAAGCTTCACCCAATTCTGCCTGCACCAGTCCCCTCCCACCCAAGTCCTACTATGTCCTTTCCCCAGTCATTCTGACGATCTCTGCTGGATTGAATCACTGTTATACTGTCAGACTACATTGGATCTTTCAGAGAGCTAAGGAGGAAAAACAGTTGCCAAAAACTTTAATCAATATTTCCTCATTGTTCCTAGTGATCTTGAGTTCATTTTGTCCCAAGTCTAGACCATTTATCTGTCCTCTGCTATTCTACCAAATCCTGCCAGTGTTACAGACCCTTGTTCTTGCATCCTCTGGATGCCTCCGCCAAGTGCCACAACTCCAAGAGACCTCAAGTCTTCTGGATCCTATCACTGGGTATGCATGTGTGTTGCTTCCTACTGGGACCAACAGTTCTTGAGAAGGCTTTCTGTCTGAGCCCATTCAAACATCTTCCTCTCTTAAGTGGGAATAAGGTGAGAACGTTAAGAATGAAAATGATGATGAACGTGACGTTAATGGTTGACAAGGGTGATGACGGTGGCAGCTGTCATGTGGTGGCTACTTTGGAGCAGCTGCACCGTTAGCTTTCTCTCAACTGGACTAACCAACGAGACTTGGCACTTAGAAGGCACTCATGCTTACTGGAAGAATAAATGTCTTTTACAATCCTCATTTTGCAGGTGAAAAAAACCTGAGACCCAGGGAAGTCAAGTCACTTGTCAAGGTTGTGCATCCCATCAGAGCGGGTGGAGCTGGCTGTTGCAATGATCAACCTGATCACACAGGTGTTTCTTCCCCTCAGCTACATTTCCTTGTTGTGGCCCTGGATGTCTGGGAAAGGCACTGGAAGAGAGGGTAGCATCCATCTGGGGCAAGCAGTGGGCATCCCTGCATTTACCACCCAGCTGCTGAATGTGCTGCCCATTCCAAATGAATACAAAGTCCCGTGTCTGGACGGTTCCCCAGCTATGCCTCCCTTCCCACGTCTACAGGTAGAAAGCCCCAGGTTGGGGAAGAAAATTCTAGCCGAGAGCCTCAGGAGGTCAGAGGGTAGGGAAAATGAACTGTCTGGGAGGCTGATCTTTTTCCTGGCTCTGCATGACCTCCCTCAACCTCTCCAGTTCCAGCCTTAAAATGAGGAATGTGACCACGCTGCTTTCAAAGGTCCCTGCATTTCCTGAGCTCCGGGACCCTCCCTGGGGACCGATTATAAGGTGTTAACCAGCTCTGCCAGCACAGGTTCGAAGGCCCCTTTGTGCCCTTGGACTTGCTGGCCCCCAACACACGCAGCACGTCAGTGCATCTCTCAGTAGTTTCTCAGGCTGCAGGAAGCCTTCATGACAGCTCCCTTCAGACTTCTCACCAGCCTCGGCTCATCCGTCACCTTCTGCTTTGTCACTGATCTATGCTCTAACCCCCATTCAGATCCAATGCTGTTGAATTGTTCTAACGTGAGGGAGGCATGCAATCAGGCAGGGATAAGCAGCTGAGCCGGCTGACACCTGGGCCATGCACACCACCCGTCTTCCACGTCCATTCTACATGGCTGAAGCCTCGGCACAGCCAAGCTCAACCTCCCACAAGGTGCCAGGAGCCATGACACCTTGTTGGAGACCACTGAGCTGCAGCCCCACCCCTTTGGCTGTTCAATGAAGCTGTGCCCTGAGCACCACCCCTACCCTATACAAGGATGACCCCAGCCTGGGTGGAGGCAGTGTGCCCTCTCGAGGTTGCCCATGAGACTGAGTGTGGACTCTGCCTTTCGGTAGATCCTGCTCTTCTATGCACCTCTTCTTCCTCTGCGACCTGGCTGTATTCTTACACGCATGCAAGAACCTGGCTAGCTGCAGCTGGGGGTGTCTCCGAGCCCAGCCAGGGCTCTCAATCTCCACAACATGGTTTGTTGTGGCTCCTGCACACGGCCTCCGTGCTCAATGCTGACTGGTTTTTCTCTGGGCCATATGCCAGGTACTGTAAGGAAATCTCAAGGAATAGGAGGGCACCTCGAAAATTTTGTAGGAAATGGAGTTAAGGGGCAGGTGTTTGGCGCAGTGGTTAATTCTTCCCTTGGGATGCTGGCATCCCAGATAGAAGTGCCTGGTTGGAGTTTCTGCTGTCTTACTTCCTATCAGCTTTCTGCTAATGTATACCCTGGAGACAGCAGACAATGGCTCCATGGGTCCATGGGTCCATGCCAGCCAGACTGATTTCCAGGGTCCTGGCTTTGACCTGGTTCAGACCTAGCACTGTGGTCATTTGGGAAGTGAACTGGAGGAGCAAAGATGTCTCATTCTTTCTTTCAAATACAGTGAAAATAAAGGTTTTTTTTTAAAATACCATTAAAAGATACATTTATTTTGGTATACAAATGTTGAAATACTTGCATATCAGGGATCTTAAAAAAAAAAAAAAAACAGTTCATGGAAAAACCATGCATGGAGTTCAGCCTTTCTTAATACCAACATAAATTTACCTTAATTCCATTTTCCAGTGAACTTTTCGAAGTCCCCTTGTACAGAATGCAGGATCTCTTGGTTCCTAAAGCCACAGCCCATCCTATCTTGCCCCGCCTAGCTGGGATACAGATTTGATAGTATATGAACGTGACTTGGCCACTCACTCTGCTTGCTGAGAGACAGACTATCAGCCTGGAGTCCTACAGACACAAACAAAGGCCCCTCGGGAGACGTCCCCTCAGCACAGACACACACTCCACTCCAACTCAAAGAGAAGTGCCCATGTGGGCAGCAGCCAGACTGAATGCGCTTGTTATGCGCTGGGGCCTGGGCCAGCGAGCACAGCATGGTTTTGTGGGCTTCTGGAGATAAAAGGGCTCCCCTCACTGAAGGCCTCTGAGGCCAACACAGCACCTGCAGCGGCTGCCTCAGGCAGGGGCTGCCACTCACCTGAAAGGCGACTCTTGGTCTTCACCTTGCTGCCGCCCTGCTTGGGGCTTTCCGAGCTGCCCTTGGATTCCTCAGGGCCGCACAAATCTTGGGTCTCCTCGGTCCCAGGCATCTGAAACGCAGAGAGCACAGAGCTGATGGGAGGGGCTCGCCTGCCATACTACTTCTGCTCTCCCCCGCTTTCCCCCCAGCCAAGATGTTAGGTCAACACCCAGGAGCAGCAACACAGACGCTGGGTGAGGAAGCTGTCCTGGGAGCAAAGCCCAGTCCTGCAGATAACCTGTTCAGCAAGCCCCCGAGGCCTGCCTGAGCTGTCGCTCTTTCATTCTACCTAGGAGGTAATCTGTCGGTCAATGTCAAAGCCACAACTAGATAGATACCAGGTCTCTTGGTTTTTGGGCCAGTGTTTCTCCCCTTGATGCAAGTTGCAACAAATACTGAACCAGGGATTTAAATCCAATTCTGAGGTTTTCTGATACAAACATCGATTTTGTGGCAGTCAAATAATGTCATCCTTTATTTAACCAGTTGCTGGGTGTGCTACACTCCTGCATACTGCTTCAGCTCCTCCCAGTATCAAGTATGGCTCACGCTACAAGGAGGCAGCAGGTGCACATCTATAAATCGTGTGTCTATGATGTTGGCCCCCAGGGGGCGATGCAGAAAGGCTAATTCCAAGGCTCTACCCTAGAAGAGCCGAACATGCTCCAAAAACTACATTTATTGGAAAGGAGACTTAGGTGTTTGGGAGTGCTTCTAAAAAGCTGAGGGGAGCTAAGTTTACATATACAAAATGTATGAGACACATCAAATAGTAAATTGTTCTATTCCAAATTTTCTTTTTGACATTCTGGAGAGAAAAAGTGTTACATTAAAGGTGAGGCACTGTGGCATAGTGAGCTAAGCCTCTGCCTGCAACGCTGGCATCCCATAAGGGCACCAGTCCATGTTCCAGCTGATCCTCTTCCCATCCAGCTCTCTGCTATGGCCTGGGAAAGCAGTAGAAGATGGCCCAAGTCTTTGGGCCCCTGCATCTATGTGGGAGACCTGGAAGAAGCTCCTGGCTCCCGGCTTCAGATTGGCCCAGCTCCAGCTATTGCAGCCATCTGGGGAGTGAACCAGCAGATGGAAGACATTTCTCTGTCTCTCCCTCTCTCTGTAACTCTGCCTTCCAAATAAATAAGTAAATAAATCTTCATCAAAACAGGTGATAAGACAAATATACATGCTTTCAAAAGACACAGAAGCATCCACTGACACCATTCATCAAAACATCATGTAATGTAATGCAAAAAAAAAACTTTTGGCCGGCGCCGCGGCTCACTAGGCTAATCCTCCGCCTAGCGGCGCCGGCACACCGGGTTCTAGTCCCGGTCTGGGCGCCGGATTCTGTCCCGGTTGCCCCTCTTCCAGGCCAGCTCTCTGCTGTGGCCAGGGAGTGCAGTGGAGGATGGCCCAGGTGCTTGGGCCCTGCACCCCATGGGAGACCAGGAAAAGCACCTGGATCCTGGCTCCTGCCATCGGATCAGCGCGGTGCGCCGGCCGCAGCGCACCGGCCACTGGCCGCGGCGGCCATTGGAGGGTGAACCAACGGCAAAGGAAGACCTTTCTCTCTGTCTCTCTCTCTCACTGTCCACTCTGCCTGTCAAAAAAAAAAAAACTTTTGAATTTTAACAGGTAATAAAACGCATACATTGCATGTCAAATTCAGTATTCAAAATGTATAAAGTAAGTAGCTGGAGTAATTCCCAAGGTAACCTCCATTTTAAGAGATAATTATTTATGTATAAGTTTTACATTAAGTAAGATTTGGAAGATTACCTCTCTTCCTCGAGTTCAGATATCTTTCTGAATAAGGAAGTTTGAGAATGAGAAGATGCAGGAAAGTTGAGGCAGGGTCATTGAGAAAAGAAATTAATCCCAACATCCAAACAAGGACAGCAAGTTTGGTGCATTCCTCCTACAATGTCACGGATGGGCAGGTGTCCAGTTCAAATGATGCAGAAAAGGCAAGACTAGAATTCTGAGGATGACCGCAAAGATTCCCTGGAGGGATGCCGGCCCCAGCCCCAAGGCCTGACGTGATGAACCGTCTTTGAAAGCGTCAAACCTAGGCCACGTGCAGACAGAAGGCTGCATGCAAACAGGAAAGTCCAGAGAGAAGGCTCAGGACCTCTCCTCTGCTGGTTTTTTTTTTTTTTTAAATAAAAGGTTTCTTTGGGAGGAAAAGTAAATTTAAGGAATACAGACTTTATGCATTTCATGAGTACAACTCTAGGAATATAGTGATTCTTCCCCGCAAGACCCGCCTTCCCATCCACTCTCCCACCCTCAGCCCCCCTTTCCCAGTCTCATTCTCCACTAAGATCCATTTTCAATTAATTTGTACACAGAAGACCAACTCTATACCAAGAGTTCAACAATTTGCACAGTAAAACAAAAACAAAAACAAAAACAAAAAAACAAAACATAGCCAGAAACCAAACCAAAACACTGTGCCTCAACAGTGGAGACAAGGGTTGTTTGAAGTCACTGCATCTTGAAGATAATTTCACTTATTTCTTTTTTAGAAACTTAATTAACTTTAATGAGGCACCCAAGAACGATACATCTTTTGCAAGCACTTAGTCATAATACAATTCTTTGAGGACAGAGGTCCTGTATGGGAAGTTAGTGCACAGTGACTCTTGTTAATTTAACAATTTACTCTTATGTATGATGTCAGTGATCACCTGAGGCTCTTGCCATGAGCTGCCAAGGCTATGGAAGCCTTTTGAATCCACAGTCTCCATCAGTATTTAGACAAGGCCATAAGCAAAGTGGAAGTTCTCTCCTCCTTCAGAGAAAAGCACCTCCTTCTTCGATGGCCACTTCTTTCCACTGGGGTCTCACCCACCGAGATCCTTCATGTAGGGCATTTTTGCCTCAGTGTCTTGGCTTCCATGCCTGAAATGCTCTCGTGGGCTTTTCCTCTGCTGGGCTTAAATGCTTCATGCAAAGCAGCTGCCTCCAGGTTGCAAACAGCAACCACTAGAGACCGAGTTCCACTGCTGGTTCTTTCTGGTGATCCCGCCCCATCCAGGCGACCAATCCACAGGGACACGGATGCCCTGGCTCTCGGGTCGGCTCATTCACGCCCTCTATTGGAGCCTGCTTCATGGCAGTGGGTACGGTCCAAACCATCAGAAAGCCAAGGGAGGAAAGCCATCCTGCCGCCAGTTCTGGACTTAAGTTTCCTCTTTCCACCGTCCCCACTACTTCCCCTTCACAGCCCAGGTTTCCCCTGAATCCGCGATGTTCGAGAGGTGATGCACAAACTCAAGGAGAACAGCCACCCCCGGCGGCTCAGCGCCTCCGAGACCCGGCTGTGAGTTCAGCCTCACGTGCTCCCAGGATACCTCCTCACTCCAAAGAGACTGCACAGGTCCAGTCCATTCACCTCCACTTCGTTCCCATTTCATTTTCATAGCAAATGCGTCCGAGTGTAAACAGTACAATCTCCATTTGATAGGCAAGGAAATAAACAGAGACCCTTAAGACGTCGTCTTCTGTTGACCACCTCTGTCCACAGGACCAGTCTGAGAAGGACAGCACAGACTGATGGGGTTTAGGACAGACCGTGGGTGAATAAACAGAGAGCGAATGAGTGGTGTTGATTTATCCACAGCACGCCCGTGCTCTGTCAAATCTGAAGTCCTCATGATGCCAACAAAAATGCTCCAAATTTTTTAATTTTCAGGACTAGAGAAGCAAGAGAACACATTTTTCCCTCCTTCATCCCCCAATGCACCACAGAATGACCCGTAATTTAGTTTCTAAGACATACAAAATGCCAGTAAGATTTCTCATGACAAAAATAGAGTGTATGTCACTACCTAACACCAGGAGCTAGACCAGGAAAAATGGACCTAGAGACATCTCGGGGTGTCGCACAGGACCCATGGCTAAGCTCTGGCAGGAGTAAAATCTTAGTTGAAGACACTGGAAGTCTTAGCATAGGTGGCTTGGTGCTTTTGTGTTGCTATAATGGGATATCACACACTGGGTAGTTTATAAAACAAAGCAATGCCTTATAGTTCTGGGGCTCGGGAAGTCCAGGATCAAAGCGGCACATGTCATGAGGGCCTTATGTATCACAACATGGCAGGAGGCAGAGGGTAAGCGTTGATGGGGCCAGAAGGCTACATGTGCTTTTCTATCAGGCCCACATTCAAGGTAACTAATCCACTCCCGAGAAGATGACACTAATCCCCTCCCAAGGGCAGAGTTCTCGTGACCTGATCACCCCACTTCCCAGCACCGCTGCACTGGGAACACATTCCTAACAGCAACTTTGGGGGACACACTCACACCACAGCAACAGGGTTATGCATTTAACCGAACCACTTCCTCTTGGAACAGAAAGCAGGCTGGTCACCATGCTAGGTGGCCTGTCACCCAGTGAACGGGAAGTGGTCTGCTTCGACACATCTGTCCCGCCTTAGGTCAGAAGCAGCAACGTATAAAGTACAACCCAGCTGCCGATGAGCCTCTCCTCAGTCTTGGGGACTCTCCACACTCCACGACAGTCCCCGTGCTCTGTGTGCTCTCTGCCTGGTGCACAGAGCCAGTCAAGTGCTTCTGGAAACGTCATTTGAGTTGTTCTGAAATGAGATTTGCAGAATGTTCTGGAAGGCCTTCAGTTCAGGGAAACAGTTGATATAATTTATTATTCATGAGCAGTTGCTAAGCCATGTGTTATAAAACAATGCTATTAAAGGAATCTAATAGAATTTGCCAATTTCCACGCCAGAGCCTCCCTGTCTGCCTCATTCCACACCTGGAAACTCGGAAACTCTCCCGCAGTGAACAAGCACCTCCAGCTTCCGGTTTTGTAGTAAGGGGTGGGCAGACTGGTTCAGAATCCAGCTGCCTGGGCACATATCCCGGTTGTACCATTTTCTTCTCTTTGTTTGTTTTTGTACCATTTTAATAGCCACTTAGGCACATTTGCCAGCTTCTTTGAGCTTCAAAGTCCTCATCAGAAAACTGGGGTTGGATTTAAGAATTAAATGACAAAGGTTTTAATAAAAGGTAGCAGGTTTCCAGAAATCTGCTCCTGAAATCACACTG